TTCCTTGGCTGCATTACTAAGTTAGTAATCTAAAATTTGAGTAGATTAATCTGTTCAAGTCAAAATACTTTTTGGTACATATGTACGTACAAAGTACAGCTATACATGTATTTCTCTTCCTCAAAATACATAAATATGATACATTATCTGATGTTAGTACATGTACATGTAAATGTACATGTAGGTGTGCATGTTTATTTGATTTTAATCTGCTCACTTGACTTTAGCGCTTAGAAACATTGTATTAAACGTATTATAAATGTAATGTATTATTATTATTATTATTAGTGAGAATTTTGATCCCTAAGTTTACACTTTCATACGTTTCTATTATGTAATTCTTACGATTTCACATCAGACTTCTGAGTGGCACATAATTTCTCACATGAGATACAATATTTTCAACTATCCTTTAAATCAGTTTATATTCCAGACCCCCTCCCCCTCCCCCTCCCCCTAGAAAAGGAACTAATTAATTACTGGTAGATATAATAAAATGTATGTACTTGTATGTTCAACTTCAGTGACTTTACACTTAATATAAACAAGTAGCCTGTTCGATCCCCAAAGCAAACCCATTAGTTTCCAGCTTTAATTAGATCATTAGTACTCTATTTTTCCTGACATATCCCCGCCTTAATTAATTATTTTAGCCTTCAATTTTTGTTGTTGCCATACACTGTATGTCATCTAATTTCTGTACTTGCAATTGTACTTTCATGTATGTTTTGGAATATAGCTATCATTCAGCAGTCATCATTACTCTATGTACATGATTGCAAAGCATGTCTGTATTACATAATGACTACTGTATTTCACAATTTGATTAACTGACTTCTAAATTATTCTAAATGATGATAACAATCATTAAACTTGGTTTATCCAGGGAAGCCTCGGCAGCTTTCGTTCATCCAGAGGGCCCTGCAGTTATTATTACCCCAGCGATTGGCAGCTACCCATTTCCACCTGGGTGGAGAGTGGCAAATTTTGAGTAATGCCTTGCCAAAGGATAACCATGTATCAGTGCCAGGCCGGGGTTCGAACCCTCAACCCTTGGATGGATAGTCTTGTGAATGAACCACCAAACTATGACAATCCCACATGGATGATGTACTTTCTTCTTCTTTTTTTTTGGGGGGGGGGGGTCTTTTTTTTAAATAAATGTTCATTCAAATACAAGTTCATGGATAACATAGTACATAAATATTTATAACAAGCACTTAATCACATGTTTAAAGAGAAGGTTGAGTTCTGGGAAGAGGTGAAAAATAATTTGTGAGCATTACTCATTCTTATTATGCAAGTATGGAAGAACATCAGTTAAGACATGTACCCTGAAAAGCATGGCTCTTCAAATGCCTTCATATTCTAAATATGCATGTAACATCGTAAAAATCGGGGGCCGGCTTTTTATGCCACGTGTTCGTGAAGTCCCATATACATCTTTCTGTGCAAGTGTTTGTAACTTTACCAAGACTTGGCCAAATTTCTTATCATTTTGATGATTCCAGAACCTTGCAATACACATAAATTCTAGATGATCAACCTTTTCTGGTCGGTTCCACACCGTTTCTTTCACAATGCAATCGCATGACCAGAACTCAACTTCATCTTTAAATGAGATCAAATTATATATCTGTATTTACTTGAAAGCAGATTGTACAGGTAGATGCATTTCCCGTAAATCATTTATTATCTTCATCCACTTAGTAGTATTCACATCTGTTGTCTTAGTTTTATTTTCCTCAACTTCTAGTCTGTATTTTTAAAACATAAACAAAAAATATTTGCTTATTATTTTCATTGCTACATTAGTATTCAATTGATTTGCATGTACATGTACTGTACATACATGTATGATGACATGATTTCATTTTATTGCTAAAATGGCCTCCTTCTGTCGGTATCAGCTCTGAATCGAAAGAGAGATAATCCTCCAATGCATATTTTAACAACGAATGGGAGCCGAGGTAGTTTAGAACGTGACTGGTCTCCATTACATGTATGGACAGTGTTGTCAATTTAAGGAGACGGGCGGAGATGTCTCATGTCTGATTCCAATCATTTAATTTGCATAGATGAGCTACCAAGCACTTCCACTGTTACCTAGCAACAGCAAGTATGTCATCTTGGCAACCTATAATTGATGTCGGTGTTGTGGGTGGTGTACCCATTGTATTGTACACTGTCAAAAGTTGATTCACTGACAGCTCAAGTTTGCTTTAGAAATGATCAAAATAAAAGCATGAAAGGAAGCATGTTTACAATGTACTAGAGAGCAAAGCATTATACAGTATCCCTTTATCACGCATGGTATTGTGCACATTTTGTTGTTGTAAGTTTGTAAACCATGCAAAAATATACATGTACGTCTATTTCTAAAGAGGGTTTGCTTTTTAATTACCGGTACCAATCATATTGTGTCAAATTTGACAGGTAAACTATTTATTACATTACAACCATGCACAATAAAATGCAAGTCCTTCTTTTAAATGGGGATGAAAAAGTGTATTTTTTCTCAAAGTGAAATTTAAAAAAATAAAAAGTAAAAAGATTGTGTGTCCTTCCTGTACATCATACAGTCATATCGATTCCCTCGAGGTTAAATGTAGATTTTTTACAGGGGAAAACTTTCCCATACCTGTATGAAAGCTAATATCACTGCATTGCAACAGTCACCAAATTAAACCTTGAGCAAGGCATGGTATTTAGATTGCTTCTCTGCACCCAGGTGTTTTGGGTTACCTCATAGGATGCAAATATCAAAGTCATTGGATGAGTATGTGTGTAACTGTAAAAATTGTGAATTGCTGGAATGCTTCCAAAGGGAGTAGCGAGTGTGCACTGTAAAAATTTAGAGTCATAGCAGAATCCAATGACCAGGGTAATATAATGATGTAAGCACTTTTGATCAGTTAACTTGTAACTGATAAAAACATTTTAATATAAGAAAACAGTTGTTTTCATTATTAATATTATTATTAGTAGTAGTAGCAGTAGTATTACCATTATTATCAACATTTTTATTATTATATTGTTATTATTATTTTTACTTATTACTTGTACTCTACACAAATTTTTCTCTGACGAAACATGATAAACATTGCATTTGCAGTACCTGAGTGAATGCTATTACCGGTAAATGTTTATTGTGTTATAATAGGGACTTTTAGATTGGCATGACGAGAACATGGACTGCTACACGTATGTGACGTCCTTCTAAGGCACTGCCGGGCACTGCCAGTGCCTTAAAAGGACGTCACATTGCCTTTAACAAAAGGATGTCACATGTAGCAGTCCTCGTTCTCGTCATGCAAATCTAAAAGTCCCTAATATCTCCCTTGTAATGTACTCCCTCTAAGAAATATCATCCACACTGGAGAGAAAAGCATCACCTTCTTGCAACCTTTCTTCATTTATTCGCTCCTTGCTAAAGCGGCCATCGCTTTCTTCTCAGTCCATCAGCTAGACATCGCCATAGCAACAGTGACAGCTGATATTAATCCGAGCTTGCTTTATTATTGATGGCTATAATTCCGAGATTGCTCTTTTCCTAGACCGCATTCTTATTTCATTGAACTGTTCATATTTCAGGAAAGAAATTGCCTACCATATTTTGTTAAGATGAAGATTAAATAGGATTGCGAGCGGTGGGTTGCATTTGTTTGTTCATGAGGTTTGCAAGCGTTTTCAGATTGACTTCTTACATACATGTACTGCAGCAGTCACCTAGCCCTTTCTTTGCCTTCTTAAAATAAATATTGATGCAATTTAACCCCCTATTTATACATATATGCACACGTGTATGGATTCGTTTTGAGGCAATACTGGACAAATTATAATATCAAAGGGTTAAAATTTAACTAGGGTTCTTGGTTTTGTGTACAAATATGTGTATTTTTTTATAATTTCTCTTTCGCTTTTTGATTACTTTCTCAATTTGCATCACTTTAAAGCCCCACTGTACTGTACTGTACACATTCAGCTACTAATTGCTCCCTCTATATAGGAAAAAAAGCCTAAGCGGTGACCATTGGTTCCCAATGATCCTCTTTTTCTTATTTTAATTGAGAGCTGGGTTGATGAGAAAGCTACCTGTCAGTGACCATGCTGGGTGGTCTAATCCCTCCCGGCCAAATAAGTACAGACAGGCTATAAATGAATTAATGTTAAATCTTTTCAGTAGTGTTGCAATTGCAACTGCTGTGTAATGTACATGTACAGGTACATAATCATCATCTTCATATGGTGGTAGTGGTAATGTAGACATTATCATCATAAAGCCATTGTAATGACAAAATAATGTAATGAAAGTAATATTGGATATAATGGTAATTGTTCAAATTATTTTTATCCTGATATATATTTATTTATTATCTCATATTGTGAATGCTTATTCTGTTCTTCACGCTTAATTTTCCAGGATGCAGACTGTGGGGGGTGACATGCTTTCGAGTAATAGCAATTTCAATTGCTTTTGTCCCCCCTGACCAGCAGATTGTATCCTTTTCTCTCTCTCTCCTCTCCACTTTCCTAAAGCTGTTTGCATGTATTATGAATTTTTTATGTACTGTACATGTATTATCTGATTGTCATACTCACTGTATGTTTTCTGATTGGTCAAATAATAATTACTAACAGTAATAATAATAATAATAATCATCATTATCATTTCCTTTGTGATTGTTACATTCTTTTTATCTTCCTCCTCTTTCTCCTCCGTAGTCATCGGACGAGTCAGCCCAAATCTGACTCGATACATAATCATTATCATCGTCATCATTATATGGTGGCGGTAGTGTGTGTGGTAATGATTATCATCATCATAATATTTCCTTTGTGAATTTTACTTTCTTCCTCCTTCTCCTCCATAGTCATCGGACAAGTCAGCCCCAATCTGACATCATCATCATCGTCATCATCATACATGTACACTGTATGGTGACGGTGGTAGTGTGGTGATTATTATCATAAGATTTACTAAATCTTTTCTTCTTTTTCCTCCTCCTCCTCCTCCTCCTCCTCCTCCTAGTCATCGGACGAGTCAGCCCCAATCCGACTGGATTTCGGGCGGAAACGGTCCACCTGGCGCCATCATGGATGACGATCATTCCAATTCACCCAACGTCATCCGACAACAAAAGCTCGAAAAACAGGTAAATTCAATCATTTTGCTATCGAATCTCCACTGTTGGCATCAATTACCCGTAAAGGCCAGGGGGTGTTTCGCAAAGATCCAAAGTTGAACTTATCTAGTTGGACTTAACAATTATAGCAAGCTGTTTATAGCATCTTTGAAAATATTTTGTAAAAGTTATTTTAAATGGCATAAAGTATTGAGTCAAATCATTCATATTTTCTATTATCAAGGAGATTTCATGTTATTGATGTGGAATTTATGAAAAGTCTAAAATACTTAATTTTTTGCTTTTTAATATATTTTGTTTTAAGGCTACAAATGGCTCTCTATAATGTTTCAGTACAAGTGAAACACCCCTCCACCCCCCCCCCCCCCAGGTCACGCCCACTTTTCTCTATGCTTTTTGTACATAAATTTAACAAAATTAATATCCCTTTTCTGCTCTGGGAATGTATAACATGGCTTCAATCCCCATGGAATACATTTATGTGCAACGTTACAATTACTATTACTTATTGAAATATCAAGTTTCGAGTTTATTTATTTCCACTTTATCGAAAATACTATACATAATAATAATTATAACTACATGTAATCATGTATTAAAGGAACAAAATGTACATGATAATAGTTATAACAAAAGATACAATCATAAGTATGATAACTACATTGAAAAAGCTAAATAAGGTGGGGGATCTACTTAAAAGCAAAGCTTGTATTATGTAGGTCCCAATTAACACAGTAGTAAAGCGGTCTTTGTAAATACAGAGATGGTAGAATTGAAGAAATACAGGCATTGTATTTTGTTATCACTTATTTTCATATTCTTAAAAGGTAGAAAGTGGCTTAAAATACTGAGGTACCCTTTATATAATACTGAAGATTATATGAAGTGAAGTCTTTATTAATGTACATCTATATACCCTGAAATTCTCTTACAAGTAAAGGTTTGTTCAGATATGGCGCGCTATACCGCCGCAAACAAAAACGCTGGGTTTCTTTTAATCCTCTACAAAGGACTTGTGCGTATTCAGTTTACTGAGCTTTGTGTTATCATTTTATACATAAACGTGAAACGTATTACACTTAACTTCTTCATTATAAAAAAGACCCACTGCAGTTTTGCTGAGTCATATCTGAACGAACCTTAATGAGTTCTAAAAAAAAAAACATCGTCCTTGTAATACCTTACAAGTGTCGGACAATCATCCTAATCAGGCAAAGCATTACGTCATTGCATAACAGCCCTGGTTATATTGCTTTATCGCCATGGCAACGGTTACCAAGATTGTGGGGAACTTCTTTTTTTTCTTCTTCAGGTTGCAATTGAATTATGTTCTGATCTTCATTTCATGGTCATTAAAGTCAGATTGTCAATCTCCATGTATATTTTTAGTCACGCATATTAAAGAGAAGGTTGGGTTTTGGGAAAGGTGAAAAAAACATTGAGACCATTTTCATTCTTTTGATGTAAGTGTGGAAGAGTATCAAAGAAAAAAAAGGTTTCCCCTGGAAAGGTTTGCTCTTTAAATGCCCACAACTTTCGTGCCACTTGTTTGTGTAGTCCCGGATACACATTTCTGTGTGCTGTACATGTGATCTTTAGCAAAATTGAGCCATTTTCTTATCATTTCAATGATTCCAAAACCTCACAGTATACACCGATGTGTACAGTATACTATGTATACAATGTGTATACATTAATATTTACTTCATGATCAATCTTTTGGAATCGCTTCCACACAGTTTCTTTTACAATACAGTCATGTGACAGGAACTTCACTTTAAGACGCTAATATAGACTCTGAATTCTTAAGGGTTGGTTATCCTTACTTTAAGAAGCGTAAACAGGTCGATAGAAGGAGGGAATGTTGTGGTCGAACTGTATCGCTTTCATCGCCACACACCAATCACACACGCCGCTAGCTCAACCAATGTTTGCCGTTTTAATCTAGATTCTTTTTCAAGAAACCAAGCAGTGGACGCAAAGCTTGTCATCTCGATACTATAGTGAGAGTCTTTACTGGTTAGCGGGCATTTCTATCAGAACCGTTGTGATACACGCGCCTCGTAAACAGCCTGTTGAGTCTGCTCTCTCTATCTCTTCAACAAATCTGCGAGGAAACTTTGATTTTGGAATACAAGGCTGTCATGCCATCTTAATGTCCATTGTTTCAGTGGTTCAGTATCATCTGGCAGTCAGTGTCCCTTACCTCGGAAATAGGAGAAGGAAAACAAGCGAAGAAAACAACTTAATTTGTTACCATAAGCGTTTTTTGCCAAGTTGAACACACATGTACAGTACATGTAGATGCTCGAGGACTGTTACAACATGTACATGTAGCTGTATTTTGTTTTACATTTTAGCAGTCGGCTTGTCAATCAATGCTTGTTTCTTCGCCGGCGTTCATGTTCATGTATATGGATTAGTTTTTCGCCATGGGTGAAGACAGTGTGCATGAACTTTATCGCAAGCTTCAGGTGTCAGTACCTGCTGGTATTTTCTCAGATGAAGATAGTGTTTTTACTCAGGTAGCATTGAGATTATCAGCTTGCTCTCTCTCTCTCTCTCTCTCTCTCTCTCTCTCTCTCTATCTATCTATCCCTCTCTCTCTCTCTCTATCTATCTCTCTCTCTACCCCTCTCTCTCACTCTCATTTTTTTCTCTCTCTTTATGTTTCTTTTTCTCTTTCTATCTCTCTCTCTCACTCTCTCTCTCACTTTCTCTATCTATCTTGCTTTCTCTTTCTCTGACTCTCTCTCTCTCTCTCTCTCTCTCTTTATGTTTCTTTTTCTCTTTCTATCTCTCTCTCTCTATTCCTCACTCTCTCTCTATCACTTTATCTATCTCGCTTTCTCTTTCTCTGACTCTCTCTCTCTATCTTGCTTTCTCTCTATCTCTTTCACTTTCTCTATATCTATCTTTCTGTTTCTCTCACTCTCACTTTCTCAATCTACATGTATCTCTCTATCTATCTATCTCTCACTCTATCTCTCTTTCTTTCTCTCTCTTTCTTTCTCTCTCTCTCTCACTTTCTCTATTTCTCTCTCTCTCTTTCTCTTAGATGTCCTTTCTCCATCTCCTCTTCATACAGGCTTTAATCACAGCATCTTCTCAGCATCTTCTCAGCCGATTCATTGAACCTTTCATTTCCTTCAGCGCTATCTAGAGCTGATGTGGAAACACTTTCTTGAAATGCTTATTTTATTTATTGCTTACATCCAAATCCATATAAATCCAATGTTTGCATTCCCCTTTTAACAAAATATTTTGCATATTCATTTCTAAATGCTTGCTCTCCCCTTTGAGTTCCTCCCTCTTTCTTTCTCCCCTCCCCCTTCCCTCTTTCCCCCTCCTCCTCCCCTCTTTCCATCCCGTTTTCCCTTCTCCACCCCTCTTTCCTCTTTCCCTTCTCCACCCCTCTTTCCTCTTTCCCTTCTCCACCCCTCTTTCCTCTCTCCCTTCTCCACCCCTCTTTCCCTTCTCCACCCCTCTTTCACCCCTCTTTCACCCTATTCTCTCTCTGTAATACTCTCTCTTCCTCCCTATTCTCTCTCTCCTTTTCATCTCCATATAAATTGTCTAAAGCATCTTTTCTTTTGAATGTATAGCACCGGTATACATAAAACCAGATTACTACTTCTTGAAATGTGTTGGAGATTTTGTCACTTTTCCCAGGAATTCACTTTTACCGTAGAATTCAGAGACACATTGGGCCTACAGGTCTCCTTTCAATCTAAAAGCACTTAACCCATTCTCTCTCTCTCTCCTATGACATGATCCAGCGTGCTTTACTGAAAGAGAAACGAATGAGACACAACCAGCCCTTGATGGTGCAGCCCAACGAAGAAAGGCAAGGCTCCGGCGGAAAGACGCGCAGAAAAGTACCGGAAGAAGTGCGCCCTCTAGTGTCCCCGACCCATAGCTCGTCAGCGAGTGAGGGCCTACAAGGTAAGAAATGGATATTTAATTAATTTGAATTGGTCTTTATTTCATTCATCATAAAAACATCATAACAAACATATAAAATACAAAACGTAGCGTACAAGTTAAAGAGAAACATTTACAAGAGAATACAACAACAAACATGTATATGAATGTGGAGACAGCTAGGAAAGCCAAAAGCTTTATTGGTGCTGCCACCAAAACAGCAATACAGTATTATATTTTTGTTTAAAAAGGTGATTAAAAAAAAAATTAAATAAATAAACTACAACTACTGCCTAAATAGAGGGGGAAAAACAAAAACAAAACAACACATATGATTTGGGCCTGTATTTTAAAGTTCAGTTTGAACGCAGCAGTCAATAAATCAACAGCTTTTTAGTTTTAACCTACATGTACATGTATATGGAGGTGTTTACACTATGAATATCACGGACAAAGAAAGCGGACAAAATATACAGTTCCTCAGGTAGATAAAGGAACATCCCTTCACTGCTATTATGTAAAAAGGTGAATATGCATGTGACACCTGTTCTACACATTTTTACATAATAGCAGTGAAGGGATGTTCCTTTGTCTACCTGAGGAACTGTTTATTTTGTCCACTTTCTTTGTCAGTCATATTCATAGTGTTAGGAATTATGTTTGATTTCATTTTTGGCTTTTATGGAGAGGTTGCATACTGAGGAGGGGAAAGGAATTAAAGAGAGGGCAGAATAAAAATATAAACCTAAGGAAAGATCAAAAGATTCATCACATTTATAGAGAAAAGGGTGTGAAACATAATAAAGAAAGTGATGAATTTAGAGAGAGAGAGAGAGATTGGGGGGGGGAGACTGACAGAGAGTCAGAGGAGGAAGAGAAGAGAAAGGGTGAAGCATAATGGAGAGAGAGGAATTAAGGGATAGAGAAAAGGAGAGAGGGATGGAAAGACAGAGTCAGAGGAGGGAAGATAAAAGAAAAGGCGGAGTATGAAGGAGAGAAAAATTAAAGGGTATAGAAAAGGAGAGGGAAAGACAGAGAGTCGTAGGAGGGAAGAGAAGGAAAAGGGTTAAGCATAGAGAGAAAGGAATTAAGGAGTAGAGAAAAGGAGAGAGAGAGAGTTAGAGAGAGGGGGGGGGGGGGGGGAGACGGACAGAGAGTCAGAGGAGGGAAGAGAAGAGGTGGAGCATGAAGGAGAGAGATGAATTAAGGGATAGAGAAAAGGAGAGAGAGATGGAAAGACAGAGTCAGAGGAGGGAAGATAAAAGAAAAGGTGGAGTATGAAGGAGAGAAAAATTAAAGGATATAGAAAAGGAGAGGGAAAGACAGAGAGTCGTAGGAGGGAAGAGAAGGAAAAGGGTGAAGCATAGAGAGAGAAAGGAATTAAGGAGTAGAGAAAAGGAGAGAGAGAGAGAGAGAGTTAGAGAGAGAGGGGGAGACGGACAGAGAGTCAGAGGAGGGAAGAGAAGGAAAAGGGTGAAGCATAGAGAGAGAAAGGAATTAAGGAGTAGAGAAAAGGAGAGAGAGAGAGAGAGAGTTAGAGAGAGAGGGGGAGACGGACAGAGAGTCGTAGGAGGGAAGAGAAGGAAAAGGGTGAAGCATAGAGAGAGAAAGGAATTAAGTAGAGAAAAGGAGAGAGAGAGAGAGAGAGTTAGAGAGAGAGGGGGAGACGGACAGAGAGTCAGAGGAGGGAACAGAAGGAAAGGGTGAAGCATAGAGAGAGAAAGGAATTAAGGAGTAGAGAAAAGGAGAGAGAGAGAGAGAGAGTTAGAGAGAGAGGGGGAGACGGACAGAGAGTCAGAGGAGGGAACAGAAGGAAAAGGGTGAAGCATAGAGAGAGAAAGGAATTAAGGAGTAGAGAAAAGGAGAGAGAGAGTGTTAGGGGAGATAGGGAAAGACAGAGAGTCAGAGTAGGGCAGAGAAGGGAAAGGGTGGAGCAAGGAGGAGAGAGAGAGGAATTAAGGGATATAAAAAAGGAGAAGAGAGAGAGAGAGAGAGGGAGGGGGAGGGATGGAATGACAAGGCAGAGAGAGTCGGAGAAGAAAAGAGAAGAAAAAGGGTGAAGTTTAGAGGAGAGAGAGGAAGTAAGGAATAGAGGAAGACAGAAAAGGAGAGAAAGAATGATTCGAGAGAGCAATGAAGTTAATATGAGATTAGATGTAGTTACCCTCCCAAGGCTCCGTCAAACTAGAATCAAGAAAACAAGAAGACCGGGTACTTGGGTTTACAAACCTAAGGGACCTCAGTTAGGATACAAACTCCCAGGTACGAGACTCGTCCGTTCAAACACCTTATAAGTGCATGTCAGTTGGAGGCGGATTTACATGTAGGCAGTGTTTGATCGCTGGCAGGATGTACACTTAAGAGCACTTCTCTAACTTCCTGCTGCGCATGAAATGAAGCCGTTTATAGAGCCGTCTTTGATTCTAAAAGTTTGCCAAATAGTTCTAAAGCAAGTTTTAACTTTCATTTTAACTTGCTTTGAATTCTTTTTCTGTTCTGTTTGACCATGAAAGGTGGGATATAAAGTTTTAAAGTGACCCTACCCGTGTACATGTAGTAATGGGCCTTTTTCAAAGAAACAATTTCAATGGGGGGTGGGGGGGGGGGGAGAGAGAGAGATAGAGAGAGAGAGAGAGAGACGGCAGTAGTACATTGTTTAACAATGTTTCCAGTTTTACAAAGCCGATATGATGTAATTTTGAAGCCCTAAAAAAACGCACTTCAAAATAATCATGAAGTGCTTCAAAAAAATGACCGGTTTTACCATACTCATTTTCCCCCAATAGACTGTAACATTATAAAAAACTCTTCAAAACCGAATTCCAATCATAAATATCTTGATAATCTGACAGGCGAACAGCTGGTAAAAGTCATGGGATTCCTTACTTGACCAAAAGGTTTATATATATGCATATGCTTCCTATACGTTCATTGGAACTAAATTCATGACCCCATACCAAACTTAGTATTACTATACCTTTAATAAAGAGTTTTGGCACTCCCAAAATCAGTGAACTAAGTTAATCTGGGCCCCTGTTTCATAAAACTTGTTATCAATAGCATGTTACAATAACTTTTATATATGCTACTGAAATCTTGGCATCTGATTAGCTGAGAGCAAGTTTTTCATAGCAATTTATCATTTGTTATTGATCACAAATGTGATAACAAATGATAACAAGATAAAAAAAATTACGAACAGGGCCCAGGTTTAACTTACATGTACATTTGCATGTATTTTTCGGTATCAAATTTATGAACATACATGTACATGTACTGAACATGTCTGCACAAACTGAACTTATAGATGCAAACTAAAACACGAGAGACATCATCAATCACTCGGTTGAATGTCAGTTGTGGGTTCTGAAGTCACGATACTGAGACCATCCTGCTATTAACTCGGTCTCATCAGTACGGAATAAATCACTATCCCTCGTAAAATCGGCGCTGTCGTACCCTGAGAAAATTTCATTTCCTGGCGTTGCTCTCGTCTTACATGGAGCCGGTCGTGACGTCGACTTCATGCTAGTTCACGACGGTGTGGGTTTATTGGTCCGGAAAACGATGAAATCCAGCCATGTCGGTGATACGAACCATGACTTTTCTGGGGAACATCGTGATTAAAGGCAAAAGTGGTCGAATTCAGGAAGAATTAGGAGGTATTTTCTAATTAAGGCCCCTTTTTATAAGCCCTGCTTTCTCCGGGGTCACTAAACCATCATTTTGTTCTTCTAAATTCTTGATGTAACTTATTTTAATTGTATACACAGTATATTTTGATGGTTAAACAAATAAATGAAATGAATTGAATTGAATTGAATTGAAGTGCCTCTTGCATTGAAAGTCGACTTTAAATAAATGGAACTCAAGTCTTAATGAATTGAAAGTCAAGCTGTGTTTTATCATCATCATCATCATTTATTGAAGTCAGCATTTTCCCTCTTACAAGGGGTTACTGACTATTGTGCCGTGATGTCGCTCCCTCCCTCGACTTCTCCTTGTCTCAAGTGATGATTCAGGGATGCCAGTTTTCAGGCAAAATCCTGAAGTCAGGTCCTGGCGATTTATTTTCAGGCCATAGTTTAGGTTTTTGTGTACAAAATAGCTCATTCTAGGTGATTTTCAGGCCCTCTGATCAATTCTAAGTGGCATCCCTGATCCTTATGACCTCACTGCTTTTCTTCTTCACCATATCTTTCCATGAAATCTTCAATCTTCCTTTCCAACTTATACCGTCCATTTCCAATCCCAATGCTCCTCATTTGATTCTCGGAATTGCATGAGTCACTATTTTAAAGAAGCCCCATAAAATGCAAATGCCATCATTCGTTGCATTTTACCATTATCTACATCTATAGGGAGAATCTGTAATCACAAGATGAGATTTCCAGAATTGATCAAGCATATCTGTAACCTGGTAATGGATCTTGTTGATCAATATGTGATAGTCGAGCTTGCAATAAGTAGTGTAATGTACAACAAAAAGTGCAAAATGTACAACTAAAGATGATTCATACATGTACATGTACATGTAGATGTGCATTGCACATGTAATATATAAATACTGAGTAATGGGAAGAAGAAAAAAATATTTATTTCTTTTATTCCAACATCTTTTCCATCATTTGTACGATAGTATTTTTTAGAGCAGTGCCATTTAAAGGGAATGTCCACCCCAAAAATAAGTTTGTTTCGATAGAGGCAGAATAATAAGAAAATCAGGTGAGTGAAAGTTTGAGCAAATTCTGAATGAAAATAAGAAAGTTATGAATTATTGAAGTTGTGATCAATCAAATACAAATTGGCAACTCTGTGACTTATCATACGAGCTCTCCTTCATTTGCTTTGTGCATAATATTCCATAAAATCATGTTTTCTTCGTTATTGATGACGGAATATATATTTGTTCCTTGCAGGGGGAGTATAGAAACATATTTTCAATTATTATATTTAGGGTGCATGTATGGTTGAAATTTTTCTTGAGGGAAAATGAAAATTTTAGATTTTTTTAGTACTGAGCAAATGGAAGTTGAGCTCGCATGATACGTCATAGAGTTGCCAATTTGTGTTTGATTGATCACAACTTCAAAAATCCTAACTTCCTTATTTTTAATCGGAATTTGCTCAAACTTTCACTGACTTGTTTCTCTCATTTTTCTACTCCTATTAAAACTAACTTAATTTCAGGGTGGACTTTCCCTTTAAAGCTTTCTTTTCTCCTTTTTTCTACTTTTCTCCCTGTTTTTTGTGTACAGTACTTGTGTATTTGTTCATTTAGTTTTTTTCATTTTTGGATACTATCTTGATGTAATCATTCTGTAAATTGCTGTACCTTTAACAAATTCATGAAACTTGAAGAGACCCCAGATCAGTTTGTTATCAGTTCAGTTCAGTTTATTTCACATCCAATACAAATTTACAACAATACCATAATAGAAATGTTGTAAGTTCCCTTTTTATTCAATTTTATCTCGTTTTTGTATTCCTTGGTTGTTACTCGCAGGTATCGATGGGCCGGCTGCAACGTACACACTGAATAACTCCGGCTCTTTCACAACGGTCCAGGTCCTGACCGTAGAAGAATCGTCTACTGACCCAGAACCAGTGCCAAAATCCAAAGGAGCGACAGGTATGGACGTCGTTACCCGTAAAGCAGTGATTTTAGTTTTAGTACCATGAAATGGGATGAGTCTGGACATTTGGGTTGATAGAAACAAACAAGAAATTAGAAAGGCTTTCTTGAATTAAGTTCAGGTCCTGACCGTTGAAAAATTCTCCACTGACCCAGAACCAGTGCCAAAATCCAAAGGAGCGACAGGTATGGACGTTGTCCCCCGTAAAGCAGTGATTTTAGTTTTAGTACCATGAAATGGGATGAGTCTGGACATTGGGGTTGATAGAAACAAACCAGAAATTAGAAAGGCTTTCTTGAAATAAGTTCAGGTCCTGACCGTTGAAAAATTCTCCACTGACCCAGAACCAGTGCCAAAATCCAAAGGAGCGACAGGTATGGACGTCATTACCCGTAAAGCAGTGATTTTAGTTTTAAAGCGCGTCTGTACTAGTTTGGCTAGGAGGGATTAGACCACCCAGGGTGGTCACTGATAGGTGGCTATCTCATCAACTCAGCTCTCTATTAAATAAGAAAAAGAGGATCATGGGGGACCAATGGTCGTCGATTTGTTTTCTACACAGAGGGAGCAAGTAGCTACAAGTAGTACATTTTGGCTTTAAATACCATGAAATGGAATGAGTAAGGACATCGGGGTAAATAGAAACAAACAAGAAATTGTAAATAGAAACAAACAAGAAATTGGAAAAGCATTCTTGAAATAACCCCCCCCCCCCCCCCCCCAAGAATGATATTCAGATTCTCGTTTGAAGTGGGCTTTAGGTAATTTTCAAGGGCATAGTGATCATTTCGAGATAACTGGTCGTTATCGCAGTAATTGTTGTGGACATGTGATGTTGATGATGATGAGGAGGTGGTGGAGGAGGAGGAGAAGGAGGAAGAGGAGGAGAGTGATGATAATAGTGAAGATGATGTTGGTGATTATGATAACAATGATTATGGTGATACATGTATCCAGAGCTGCCAACTAGTACGGATTTTCCGTAATTGGTACGGAAATTAACGACCATTACGGAATGTTGTCTCAAATTACGGATTTAAAAAAAAAGAAAAAAAAAGATTTTTTTTTTTTTTTTTTTTTTTTTTTTTTTTTTTTTTTTTTTAATGAATTAAATATGATTTATCGTAGCGAGTGCTGTGAATAGGAGCCATTTTTCATGATAAACTGTGTTGTGATGACCTGAAATTCAATACTTAACATCTTTGTGTGAGTAAAATCACCAAAAATTTCAGATAATCATGCGTCCGCGCAGTGTTGGCGTGTCGTTTTTTTAGATTCATAGCGCCGCATAAGAAATTACTGATTTATACCCCAAATTACTGATTTTGAGCCTTGTGATTACTGATTTTCTGTTCTGGAGGTTGGCAGCTCTGTGTATCTGTATGTACATGCAATAATGATGATCACAATCATGATGAAGATATAATGCTTATAAGATAATTAGTATGATTGTAATCGTCGTGATAAGTAAGGAGGCGGGGGAGGATAGTGTTGATAATTGATAACATCAAAGACGGCAGAGGTGATTATTATGATACCGAGGATTATTGGGATGATATGTACATGCAGTGATGATCATGATGAATGTGATGAAGTAAAATATAATGCTGATAAGATTAGTATCCAAACATGTATGATGACTCTGATGATGATCGTGGTTGTTTTGATGATGATCGTGGTTGTTTTGATAATGAATTTCCAAATTACACTACTTGACCTTTCTAAATTCTTCTCCAAATCCTTCCGCATCTTCCCGTCCCGTCCCCCTAGAAACGGAACGCAAACTAAAAGCCATGGGCATCTCCGGCACCGTGCCTTTCGAGGATCCAGACGACGGCATACCGACCTCGACCCTCCCCGAAGCGGTCATAGCCCCTAGCAACATCGGACCCGCCCCTCCCCCTTACAGCACCGTGCAGACCACGGGTTACGAGGCCCCCGCACAGAACCTCAGCTCATCAGGGTACACGGCCGGAGGAGGCGGCGGCTTCACAACCCCTACACAGCCAGTACAAGAAAAAAAGGTATTCAAAAGATAGTGAATTTGTCCTTTTCTTTGTTTCCATATTTAGATAAAAATAGATACAATATGTGCTTGATCTTTTCAGGCCTGATAATTACCCGATTTTTTAAAATTATTTTCTGATGTTTTCCCGATTTTTTTTTCTTCCCCCAATATTCTTCTTCTTTTTTTTCTTTTTTTTCTCTCGATTTCTTCTTCTTCTTTTTTTCTTCCCTTTTTGTCCCTAATTTTTCCCAATTTTCTTAATCAAAAGGGGGGAATGTTGTTAGACGCCATTTTTGTTTTCCCCAAATCCTTTTTTTAATTTTGTATTCAAGGGGGTGGGTGGTTGAGGAAAAAATGAAAATCTTTTTTTTTTAGTGCTCACTATCACCCCTGTCTTTTAGAAAAAGAAAATGTTATAATCTTGTTTAGGGATAATGCAATGAACTGCATTTTCATCAGGGTAACCTGTATCATTGAGAACCTAAAAAAGTCATGGAAATTTCAAGACATATTTATTTCCAAGCTTGAATGAAGTCATCATAACAAAGAGAAAAATTACCAAAAGTCATTCATTATCAATCATCATAGTTATTTATTTGCATGATTTCTGTTCCATCCTTTCTCTCTTCCCTCTACCCTCTCCTTCTGTCTCTTGTAACTTGATGAGAAAAAATGTATTTTTTAATTTTATTTTTTTCATTGATGAGTCATTGAAAAGTCACATGGGGCGTTGCAAGAAATTTGCGATTGATTGCAAGTTGCAAAATTTGCAACTGATATTTGCAATTGATTGCAACTCAACTTTCTTGCAACGCCCCACTAGTCTCCTAAATTTCCTAGGAATTTGTTATGATTAAAGTTTTAACAATTAAATTAAGTTAACTAAGTCTAGCTTTTATCTCCCCCTCTCTCTCTCTCTCTTAATTTAATGAGGCATTGCAAGAAAGTTGAGTTGTGATCAATCGCAGATTTGCAATTAATCGCAAGACTTACGTTTGATTTGGGGGATTTGCAATTGATTGCAACTTTCTTGCAACGCCCCAATAGACTTATTTTTGTTGTTGGAGATGCATGAACCCTGTTGATAATATTCCAACACATCTTGTCTTTTCTCATTACAGCAGAGGCCAGACAGCGGAAACAATAACCTTGGCGGAGCTGTAGGGGGCGTCCTTGATGGTCCAGAGTTAGATCGGTTCGTTTTGGCACCAGCGCCCCAGGGGGGGTCTGTGAGATGTCGGATCACCCGCGATAAGAAGGGCGTAGATCGCAGCGTGTATCCAACATACTACCTACATATGGAGAGAGACGACGGGAGAAAGGTAGGATATTGCATGTTATGAAAAGAGCCAAGTAGCCCAAAGATTTGTTTGTTTGTTTGTATATTTTTTTAAAGCCTATCTGCACTAGTTTGGCCAGGAAGGATTAGCCCTCCCTGCGTGGTCACTGACAGGTGGTTATCTCATCAAATCAACTCTCAATTAACATAAGAAAAAGGGGATCATGAGGGACCAACAGGCACCGATTAGGCATTATTTGCTATATAGAGGGCGCAAGTAGCTATAAGTAGTACAGATGGGCTTAAGTTTGTTCGTACATATGTTTGCCAACCTCATTCTAGATCAGGTTGCAGGGAGGCTGCTTGAAAGCCAATCCACTGTGCTATCATCAAGCTCATCCAAGCCTTCAGGGAACCTGATGGATTTTGCAACTCAAGACTAAATGTTCGATTTACGTGATATCATTGAGCAGTCTCGGTTCGATAATTTCTTGGAAAGACTATTTTGATAGATGTTTGCGTATTGTTTCACTGATTGGAGATATTGCATGTGAATTCATGCCCCAATTACAAAGAGAGTTTTCAATACATGCTTTTTTGTGTTGGAATTCCCGTCCCATTTCGGAAAACATGATAATCAAGTGGATTCTATTCTATACTTAAAGGTAAAGACCAGTTATGGTCATGCGATTGCATTGTGAAAGAAACGTTGTGGAATCGATCAGAAAAGGCTGATCATCTAGCATCTAGCATCTGCAAGGTTCTGGAATCATCAAAATGATAAGAAATTTGGCCCATTCTTCGTAAAGTTACAAGCACTATACACAGAAAGATGTATATGGGACTACCCTATATCTCTCACAGACCATGAGAGAAACAAATTTACCAAATATATGAATTAGTAGGCGGTTTCCCGGCAAATTTTTTATCATCATGTATTAGTCAAAACATATTCTTTCACATGATTGGTAATGAGAGCTTCAATTTCATTTTTTGAAATTGGGGCGTTTCCAATACTGGTCTTTACCTTTAAAAAGACTAGCTAACTACAAAGAGAAATAGAAATTGACAATTTTCATATTTTCTCTGCTGAGAGACAGAAGAGCATTTAATCAAATCATTTAACAGAGTTAATTCCCTTCTGTCTCTTAAAGGCACACTGTCCTACTTGTAGCTACTTGCTCCCTCTATATAGGAAACTTCCCAAAATCGGTGCCTGTTGGTCCCCCATGATCCTCTTTTTCTTATGTTGAATAAGAGCTGAGTTAATGAGATAGCCACCTGTCACAGTGACCTCGATGGCTCTCTGGGTGGTCTAATCCCTTCTAGCTGCAGTAGTAAAGCCTCCCTTTAAAGGAATCGTTTAACAATGTTAAATCTGAGATGCACGGCCCAACGTGTTATCAGTGTCTGTGAAATGGTGTAATATTAAAGCCCTAAAAAAATTACGCTTCAAAATGATCAAGAAGTGTCTCAAAAAAGGAAAAAATCTTTGAGTGACCGGTTTTACCATACTCGTTTTCCCCAATAGACTTTAGTGTTATGAAAACAGTTTGGCAAACGGTTTTCAAAATTTGTAATTCAATCAGACAGGCGATCGGCTTGTAAAAGTCAGGGGGTTCCTGACTGACCTTAAGGTTTATAATTATCATTGCAGCATGAGCTAAATCCAGGATTTTGTTTCAGAATCTGAGACAAAGTTACCAGCTCCCTTTAACAAATGATTATCATATTATTAAACTACACCTCCAAGACAACAGTTTACAAGCTGTACTTGTAGACAATCATAGAGTTTATAGTGTATTTCATGATACACTGTACTTGTATGTTCATGGCATAAATGTGTGTGTTCACACTTGTTTATTGAATGAATGAAATGATTTTCATGTGATCCATCTACACCTCCAAGACAACAGCTTACAAGCTGTACACATAGACTGCCGTAGAGATTGCAGTTTGTTTCATTATATTCTGCATTTGTATGTTCATACTAGTTTATTTCCATGTTTTTTTTCCTCAGCAATTTCTGCTCGCAGCCAGGAGGCGTAAGAAGAGTAAAACGTCCAACTATCTCATGACGACAGACCCTACAGATCTCTCCAGGGACGGAGAAAACTTTGTCGGGAAACTAAGGTAAGTTGTTGGTTAACCCGAAGATATTTGTCTCGGAATTTGTCAACTTTACACTTTCCAAAATTTTGTAATACCCTAAAATGCACAGTGCACTAAAAAGCATACAATGAACTTGAAAAGCTGAACTTAACGCTGAACTGAAATATATGTCCTGTGCCTTTGCTTATGCTTAGAAAATATACTCATTGTCATTGTCAGTAAAGACATTCAGATAAAGTAATGTCCCTGTGTATCAGTAGCAATGTTTACAGAATTTACTCGGTGTCAGTAATTGGGGAACTATGCCTCCACAAGGCCATTTGGCCTTATTTTTTAGTTCCCTGTTTTCATTTTCTTATATATTGCAAATGCCTATCATTGTATATACCTTTGTATTGTTTTTATTGAAGATGGAAATGAATAAAAATGAATTGAATTGAATAATAATGTTTGGAGCCTAAGGTACGGTTCCTGTATCCAGTCCTTTATGTAAAGACCATATTGATCATTTCCCTTGAAATGAATCTCATTGAAATACATGTAAACACAAACCTTTGTATTAAGACCACCTTTGAACAAAGACCACTTACAGTAATTGTCTCCCTTGCGTGGTCTTTGTACTCAGGTTCACTATATTTCATATGTCTCTATATCATGCATTCTCCTGTGAACAGAGCCAATTTCATGGGCACTCAGTTCACAATCTTTGATGGAGGCCTTGCACCGGGTAAGCCTGGCGCGTTACCAGATGGCGGCAACATTCGCAATGAGCTGTCTGTTGTCTACTATGTAAGTACAATTATATTTTATTTTTGTATTTGAAAGGGAACTTCATTACTTAACGTAATACAGAGGAATAATAACTTAAGTCAAACCTGCTTTATTGACCACCTGTCTACAAAGACCACATTTTTTGTTTCCTTTGAAAATGGTTTCTCATTGAAACCTGTACTAAAGGAATCTGTACATAAAGACCACCTGCCTATAAAGACCACTTTTCTTGTCTCCCTTGGGTGATCTTTATAGACAGGTTTCACTGTATCTCAAACTCCTTAGAACCAAGGAAATTGCTTTGTTATGGTGAAACCTTGTTACGTCAGGGCCCCGTCTTATATAAAGATCTGAATCAATCACAAGTTCTCTGATCAATTGCAAATTTACAGTCTTCTATCTTGTATGTACATAGTTGCGATTTCATTTTAATCACAAATAAGTTGTGATTAATTTCAACCGTTTATTATACAGGGCCAAGGTCTATCAGGATTAAAACCAAGCAAAAACCATGCAAGACCAGCAAAATCACTTCATTGTATCAAGAGTTTGCTAGTCTAGTGTCCAAATGAGATTTCACTGTTGTAGTAATTTGCATAATGACTTTTCACTGTGAGATAACATCCTGGGTTATCATTAGAGTTTAAAGCTAATCATGAGCTCTGGTATGGGCATCGTATTTCGAGAGAACATGGCTATAATTCATTCTGGATTGTCTATCATTACCAGAACTCCAACTTATCTTTAATAAAGATAAGTTGGAGTTCTGGTAATGATAGAAAATAAATTCTCACAGAATCAAACAAAACTTACACTGAATGTTTAAGATGATAAATAAATGACATGCGTCAAACGATGTTGGTAGAAAATCAGAAGAGGCATGCAAAAAATCTTCGCTTGAAATTGTCCTGTTGATAGTGATGATTTTTCGATGAGGAAAGATGATTAACATAAATTGATTTGTTTGATTAACATAATTTTTCAGCCTATTTGTCCTACTCGTTATCTACCCCTATTATTGTCTAGTTTCCTCTCGAGTTCTCTTTCTCATCTCTCTAACTTTTCTCTCTCTCTCTCTTTCTCTCTCTTTCTATTATTACCTTGTCAGTACTTTGAATCTCCTACCACATTTGTCTTATTGCCATCTATCACTCGTTCTCCTTCTATTTTCCTCCAGTCATCCATTTCAGTCTCTTCTCTTGTTTCTCTGTCTTTTCTTTTCTTATCTCCTTGATTATTCATTGTGAATTGCCATTCATATATTGTAATCTAATGTAATGTAAACATAATTGTATTCTACCAAATCAATTTGTAATGATTGTATGTATCAATCTTTTGTAAATTCAATTAGTTTCAGCCTCTGGCTGTTATTTTGAATGTACGTTTTTATCAATAAACCATATCAATTAATCTGTTTCTAACCTCTTTTTAAATGTTTCTTGTTTATACCAGGATACCAATGTATTAGGATTTAAAGGACCACGTAAGATGACCGTTATCATTCCAGGCATGAGTCTTGATCATCAGAGGGTTGAACATAAACCTAGGAATGTGAGTCACTTATATCATTTATTACGATCCTTTAAAGCCCCACTGCACTATGTGTAGCTACTAGCGCCCTCTATATAGCAAACAATGCCTAATCGGTACCTGTTGGTCCCCCATGATCCTCTTTTTCTTATGTTAATTGAGAGCTGATTTGATGAGATAACCACCTATCAGTGACCTTCCTGGGTGGTCTAATTCCCCCTGGCCAAACTAGTGCAGACTGGCTTTTAAGACTTAATTAAGTCAAGCATTTGAATTTAGTAAACACCTCAAACTGTCAAAATATTGAATTTAACTTTTTAATTGGTAATAATAATAATAATAATAGTGGTGTCTTGTACAGAATTTAATGTCAGGCATATTACCACTGCTGGCGCTCCATTATTATTACCCTGGCTTTAGCATGTCTGCTTTAGCGCCTTTTGATGGCGGCTCAGCTACAGCCGGGGTAATTATGTGGCACTTTGTATTTGGCGCAGTAGAATTTATTCATATAGTAACTGTGGAATAAAAATAGACCTATCATTATTGCTAACTAAAACCCATGCCGTTGTATTTCTGTGTTTGTGTAGGAACGTGAATGCATGTTAGAATGTTTCATTATGATATGACTAAAACCATGCCGTTTTATTTCTGTGTTCGTGTAGGAACGTGAATGCATGTTAGAACGATTCAAGAGGAAAGACATGGAGAATCTTTTAGAGCTGCACAACAAAACTCCTGTCTGGAATGATGGTAAGAACCTAATACTCAAAGTAAACTACTATTGACTGCTTTGAGGGGGCAATAGTATAGTTGACTGCTATGAGAGGCATCACTGTTTCTATAGGCTCATCCTGATGTGACCCCGAGGCGTCTCCGAGAGCCAGTATAAAAACAACTATGCTTCAAATATTAAAGCAGTCGATATGTCTTGTATATGCCGAATTGAAACAATAATCTACCAAGAATTCTTACCTTATCCTTTTCTTGAGTAAGGACTGGTTAAAACATCACAGAAAAATAGAAAAATTACTGAAAGTTTCAATCATTTGGGAATCGCGGACAAAAAGCACTGTATGGTGTCCGCTTTCGCACAAAGCACAAAGACAATTTTAACACGTAAACCAATGGGGATTGCAGCATGTGGGCATTTTTTTAAAGACTATTTACCGGTATAGGCGGGTATGAGGGCACTTTTCAAAAGACTATTGAACGGTAGGCGGGTATGAGGGCATGGCTAAAATCACGACTGCAATTTTGACCAATCAGATGGCCAGATTTCTAAAGTGAGGTACATAATAAAAACTATATCCCAGAGGTGATCCTAGAACTGTATTATGACTGGAGATAAGGTCAAAGGATATGATAGCCTCTACATCAGGGAAAGGCTGTAGTTTCCATCAATATTTCTTTTGTATGAATAATAATAATAATACTCAGTTTTTATATAGCACTTATTACTATCACTAAGCGTTTCCAAACTTGGAGATTATTACCCGGCTTTAGCTGTGCTGCCATTACGGCACTCTAGCATTTCAAAGAATTAATTCCTGCCAGGTACCCATGTACATCACCTGGGTTGAGTGTGACAAATGTAGATCAATGTCTTGAGAATTTGTTTACCCTTGAAAATTTTGCGTGCATGCATGGTCAAAGAATAACTATAGTGTGAACATCTTTAGTAAACCAAAATTAACTTCAGATTTTAGTAATATTGTATGATGATCTGCAAGGTACTAATAATCCTAAGCTGCTACTAGCCAAAGCTGTGATAGAGTCGAGCTATTGCCTGAATTTTTAGTTTTCTTTAAATAGTTACTCTTTAAATTTATCAGAATTTGGGGAGGGAACATAAACAAATATTTGGCACATTTGTGGATTTGTTGTACAGTTGCGTGCGCAGAAAGAACACAGTTTTTGTAATACAAGTTGTAACAAGAAACATTTAATTTTTCTGCCAACAATGTTTCCAGTGCTAGGATAAAGCCTTATCTTTTATTTATAAAGCTGTGTATTTGTTGTACAGTTGCAAGTGCAGAAAGAACACTGTTGCTGTAATACCAGTTGTAACAAGAAACATTTCATTTTTCTACCATTGATGTTTGACTTTTTTCCCTTGCAGACACGCAATCCTATGTCCTGAATTTCCACGGCAGAGTCACGCAAGCCTCCGTCAAGAACTTTCAGATTGTTCACGACAATGACCGTGAGTATTCTAATGGTTTCTGAACAAAAAACAATGAAGCAACAGCAGCAACAACAAATAAGACTCCAGAAAATTGGGCGTTATTCTAAGAACTAATTCATTATTCTAGTGTTTGGACGTGTCATTGGATTTTGTCTTTTTAATGGTGGTTAGGTATGGCGATAACTCACATGGACATTAGTTTGTAGTGTTAGTCCATAAGGGCTCTGTCTTACAAAGAGTTGCGATTGATCCAAATCAATCGTAAGTCCTTTTATCAATCGCAAGTTTGCAATTTCTTGTGTACATAGTTGCAGTTGATATCAATCACAGATTAGATGCGATTAAAATCAACTCTTTGTAAGACAGGGCCCAGATTTGAAAAGGTCTGGTTTTCAAGGAAGGGCAGGGTTCGGTGACCATTGCCTACCATTGTCTGAAGACTCTTGTATAGCCACGGAGAGTAGAAGACGGTGTAAAAAGAACCTAGTCAAAACAGTGCGAGTACACTGAACTTAGTAGTTGCATATTGAATGGGGAGCAGGTCAAGTTGATTGACAGTCCATGTTATGTAGGTATAATATACATTTCATCTTTTGTTTTCTCCACCCTCAGTGGACTACATCATCATGCAGTTTGGGCGTGTGGGTGAGGAGGTGTTCACTATGGATTACAGCTACCCTCTCTGTGCAGTGCAAGCGTTTGGTATCACGCTAAGTAGCTTCGACCACAAGCTGGCTTGTGAATGAACAATGCCCCTCACCCTCCTTCCCATTACCCCACCCCGCCTTCAAGACTGTAAAAGTCGACTTTTCTGCACTACCACAAAACCTGGAAACTCTCACCTGCATCAACTTTCGTGAGGGGCTAACTTCCAAGAAAATCTCATACCACTGATGTAACTAACTGAATATCAACTGGCAACACTGCACTTGTTATGCAAGTCACAAACGTTTCTTGTTGTACAGTATTCTGTGCCATGTTTGCAATCTTGGATATTTCACATTATGAGAAGAAACTCGACAGTTTTATGTAACCATGTCCCATATGCCAGTTTAAGATCTGGCTGTAAGGCTCAATCCATAAAAGGAAATTAGCAGTGCAGAAATGTCAACATTAACTTGGCCTTTGCCTTTTTCCCCATAGATCCCTTTGAAACGAAGTTAAATTATTGTCTTCTTGGAGCCAAATAATATTATTGTAGACAGAGTTAACACCGTTCTCGTTCTTGGTAGATAATTAATAAGTTCTGAATTTCTTTAATCTCACATCCACATCGGGCCAATCAGGAGCTTGTATCACAGAGCTTAGACGTGATTGGTCACATGGAGGTCACATGATTATAGGCAGTTGGTCGTGATCTTAAATCTGTTTTATGAGATATTTGTACAAACTTGTTAATCGAGTATATCCTTTTTAAACATATAAAAAGCCTGCCGTTCACTTTAGACCAATGAGTTCATGTGCCATTTTTAACTGTGGAAAACTACTGATGTAAAAAATGTGTAGTCTTATTCCTGACTGCTGTGATTAATCTTGAGTGACCAAAGGAATGCCTATGGTCTGTTTAAAGATAATTGTCAAAGTCTTGTACTAAAGTTATTGTCACCTTATTCATTTCTTTCAGTACTACTACGAGTGGAAGAAACAATTTTGTTTTTGTCCAGCAGTTGTGTTTCTACTGGAGAGTGTACAGAGTTTGTAAAAAGAAAGAAAGAAAAAGATAATATTATGCCAGATATATAATCTTAGAGTACTTACAAGAGAGACGAACTACGTGAATTGGAAAAAGAAGGATATAGTTTTAACGTGTGTGTGTGTGTCGATGTTGTTTATATTGTATCAACAAATTTCTATTTTGAAACTTGTACAAACTGATAGCATAACTGATTTTTATGGAAACACTGCTAGAATGAAAAAAGAGAAGGTTTTTGTGACATTTTTTTTAGAAAATCTTTGTAGATCGTAGAGATTATTTTGTTGTTGTGTGTCAGTGTATTTTTTAAAAACCATGTGTCTTTTCTGAATTACTGTCAAGTGTCAAACAAGATTTGTATACCCAAGCACACACTTTATTGTGGGGTCTTCATTGAGAACTTCTTAAAGTTTGATATTCATGATCTGTCTTTAATGGTGGTATAGAGTAATTATCCATGGCTGGAAAATGTTTATTTGTTGTATTGCAAATGGCACTACTTACTAGACACATATACACACATAAAGTACCGTGTAGGTTGAAAAGTAACATGCATGATGCAAAATTGATATGACATATTTTGCCGTAGGCATACACAACTCTTAAACTTTGCACTACCTGAGAGTTGGAAGACAATTCTATGGTATTCATAAGGTGAAAATATTAAATATAGATATATCATTGAGCCACCTAATGTAAAGGATGCTGCCAAATATTTTGGAAAATTAAGACTAAGTGGGCATTAACATTTTTCTTAGTTAATTCATGGAAAAGTATTTTATGAAGGGCGTCTACCATCCGTTATAGCGCCTCAAATGGCAACATCGTTACATATTTTTCGCTCATATATACTTCGGACTATGTATGTTGTATCTAAAAATGAAAGCGTATGCATAAATCGGATACAGCAGAACACACATCAATGTATTTTGGAAAACATTAATTTGAACATTTGTTGCCAATTTGAAGAATTTAAGGCTTTTTTTCTCATTTAGTGAACCACATTCCTTTCGGCATCATGGATGGAGTCTTAAATGTGTAGTAACCCTTGCTGCGTCACGTAATGTATGTCATGTGATTTGTATTTTCTGAAATGAAAATTTGAAGTACTAAAGACAAATATAGTTTCAATCTTTGTATTCATGGGTATTCAAAAGTTGCTTTTTGAAGACTTAAATGTCTGACCTATTCGGAATCCTCAAAATTTAATCTAATGGAAATTCATTGAAAAGTGAATTCTAAAGTAGCTTAAAGCTAAATGACTACATTCAGCTATTTTAATTGAATTTTCATTGTACTTTATGTTATATGTGCTCCCTTTTTTTAAGATAGGGGAAATGAATGAATTTCAGCTATGACAGAGAAACCTGTGTTTACATAATAGACAGGTATCAGTGATCAGCTATTTACAAGCACAGTAATCGTGCTGCAGATCTTTATACTCTCATACTTGTGTCTATTCTTACCGTCCATTCTTATTATCATATTCTTAGCCATGTCTTGTAATTAGTATTACACCAAATTCACTAATACCTTGAAAAATGTTGTGCTTTTTACAATTTTCTAGTTTAATAGAGGTATAATTTTTGTATATCTGCACTTCTGTGTGAAGGCTTTGATTTATTATACAACCTTGGACGTTATATTCGGGAAGAACTTTTGATTATAATTATTTATATATTTCAGCAGTGTGTACTAATCACCTGTATGTTAACCTTGATGTAAATTGAAATTGTAGGATAGAATGTAGATAAATTGTGTGTTTTCTTTCAATCAGTCGAGATTACTATTATGGTGGTTATCGATAATGTTTAAATTGAAATTTAAATTTAAATACGCATTTCATGCCTGCAGATTTGACCAATCAGAGACCTAGAATATTCATATGCGGTATATAAAGTAAAAAAGAATATCCCGCTTCGAGTGCAACTATGTAAGGTCGCTCTCAAAATGAGGAGTGGTATTTCAAAAGTAAATAAATTGATAATTTCAAGTTAAACTGCTAGCCAACATCTGTTTATTTCTCATAAATTGCTTGTCGCATCGGCCTATCGAAAACTTAGGGTAGGGTTACATACCCATGCACATGTGATGTTGGACTCTGAAATGATAAGTGTTTGGTAAAGATTAGGTTACATGTACATGTGTGTTTGATTCAATATGTGTCATTTTTCGACTCTGGATTATATTCCATATATGATTATTTGCTGAATAGTTGCACCTACCAGTGAAACATACACCATGAAATATACACTGTGAAACTTACACAGTGAAACAAACACTGTGAAACATACACCATCATTCTCTCTCTATCTGCGATCAGTGTAACAGGAGTTTGATATTTACATTGTGGCCTCTGTAAGCTTATGCAAATACATATCAATCACATGAGATACATTGAAACTCAAGTCTATATGCTCAGTCTGGCCTGAATTTGATTTGGACTGGATTCATGTTACGCCAATGCAACTTGTACCACTTCAAATCGTACAAAATTCATCATAATTCAACATATATTCAATTCAGTTTATACAATTATATTTTACTAACTCTCGTGTTTACAATCAATCTTTATTATACCAGTTCAACTTGTCGTATAATAACTTATACTAATTTCAGTGTGTTATTTTATTCATATTCTACATCATAACTCTTTCCTGAACATTATGTTGTTCCTAAATTGAATTCCTGATTAAATGTATCACTCAAATCCTTCCCCTAGACTGCCATTAATTTTTCCAAGCATAAAAAATAAACACATTACATACATGTAATACTACAGAAGCAAATAGATATTGTGTACTGTATATCAACCCGATTGCAATTGGACAGAAGTATTGCTTGGATATTGATAATTTCTTCATTATAGAAGCATGTAGTTATTGAAGTGAATATAAATTGTGTATGAAAAGACTACTTTCATTTGTTCTCTCGTCTCTCTTGGTTATGTTTACTTTAAATCTTTTTCTTCTTTTTTTGGTGGTATTATTTCATTTAATTTGTCAGTTTTATTACTTCTAATCACTGATTCGTTTTTGAGTGTCGATTATCTTTAAATCATACCTTGACTTTGTAAAAAGAAATGAAATCTTGATGAAGACAAAAATGTGTGCACCTTGATTTTATGAGCTCTTTGTAAATGCTCAAACATTCACTGCAAGTACTTGTAAATGTAAATCGATTGAAATGATGTGTATGAATTACAGATAGGAATTCCCTCAGGGTTCCCGCGGTCATGGAAAAACCTGGAAAGTCATGATGAGAACAATTCTTCGGGAAAGTCATGAGAATTTATGGAAAATGGAGAGAAATAAAATATAAAGTCATTTAAACTCTCAGAAATCAATTGTGGGTGTGAGCTGTGTGTGGCTATGGTAGCCTTCCAGTTTGAACTGACAAAGGGCGTGGCATATTCGCACACCCCTTGGACGTCGCAACCCCATACCAAAATGGTTCTTGTCTAGTCAAGGAAACAGGAAAAAATAGGTCGTGGAAAGTCATGGAATTTGATTGGATTCTAAAATTTCTATGGAAACCCTGTCACTCCAAGTACTTACACATATAGTAATGGATACACTGCAAGTTATTATATGTGTACATTTAAGTGTCATGTTTTATAGTTTTAAGTACACACTAACGTGTTCATTGTACTTGTAATTCTAATAAAAATGAACAGATGTTTTTCCATGATTGCGTGTTTCAGACTTGAGTTGAAATCAAGTTCTAGGCTAAATCATTGCCCGGGCTTTTCAAGTTGGAATAAACCCTCGCTTGGATCGACCCAATTCTTTCATTGCGTATCACCTCTGTACAACCGAGGCTTGTTCAGACATGGCGCGGTAAACCATGTTTTTTAACATTTCTTTTACTTGTTAATGAATGGCAACCGCGAGCAACAGAGGATTTGGGCGTATTCACTAGGCTCTGTTTTTATAAGATACAGAAATGGGAAGCGAACAATTTTTTACGTCATTAACAAAAATTCTGTGGTTTTGCAGCATCTTTATCTGAACAAGCCTTCAAACAGCTTCTTTGTGTATTATTTGGTTACCGGTACTAAAGCTATCAATGCCTTGACGTACGTAAATTTATAATGTTTTCTTAAATAATAAGTAAATACTATACATCTTGATCTTGCTAGCTGTTTGAACAATAAAAGGAGTTACGCTTTGAAGAGGAATGGATTCAATTTCTAATACTAAGAGCTCGTAGTTTTCATCATAATTATTGAAAGAAAAATATTGTCGGTACTAATTTGTATTTAAATTTGAGAGCCATATACAACACGAAGTAGAAGTGTACAATGAAGTGATCGATTTGGCTAAGTACTCGAGAGTTTTATTTGAGAATTCATGTATGATATGTTTATAACAGTGCCTCGGTTTTCATGTAATAATGTGTATGGAAAGCTAAATGTTGGATCTGAAACTGCATTTATACACAATCGTATTGAACCTGTTATGAATGGAGTGCAGTAATGTCCCGAAACTATTATTGTAGTCTTTTTGTGCATTACATGTATGTGTTATGATATGATATAAATCAGATCATTTGAAATGGAATTGTATTCATAATAGCAAGCTTTCTCTTGATTTGAATGATTTATACTCAGAATTGTTTGCATTTGAAGAAAAATATGATATTTATAGAGTCAAAGTATACCCAGAGTTATACAGTGTATATCTGTGCATGATACATCTAAGTATAAAATGGGTGGTCATACAAATCTGATGTTTTTTGTGCACTTTCATTGACTTTCATTGTTTCTTTTTCCTTTCAAAAATAATAACAAAATAAAAATATCTACAAATTATCTACCATAGTTTGTAGGTCGACCAATGAATTTGGACACAACAAAAATGCCTTTTTCTGCTATAATTTAACAGCAGATAAGATAGAGTCGTGTAAACAGTTTTTGCGGAAAGAATAGCAAAGTTAATTCTGTACTCTGAGGTGCGTGCATTTATGTTAGATAAGTTTAGCCCTGTGAGAACTTTTTAATACGCATTGTACACAGATAATTATGCAGTGGTCGTAATACATGTAGATGTATACCGGTCAATTACACTTACACACCAATATTAGGATACATGTATGAATACATAGCGAGAACAACATTTTAATCCAGAGACGAAAAAGAGATGTTACAAAACACCCTTTGAAAAAATTTTGCCAAACTGCTTTAATACCAGATGACTAGTAAATCAGATACTATAATTTTTAAGGAACTCCATGCGCATTGAGTAGAAAAATGCGTTCCATGAAGTACCTGCAATAGTTTGGACAACTTCAAAAGCCGATTCTGCTTCTACAATGGTATACAGTGAAGCCTACTGCATTTCTCACGATCTGACCACCATCATATTTTTGGGGAATTGGCATTAGATATGAAAATTTAAACATTGTCATTGGCATATTCTTCTTCATTGAGTTGTTAATGTTCGAAATGATACTAAAATCTAAAATGCTTTTTAGTGAAGGCCTTGAAATAGGGATAAGTACCCTGTTTCCTCTAAGTTATCTTTGTCGCGATCTGTCACATTCACAGTCGATCGTAATGATTTCAGTCGCTTACTTATAACAATTATTGTTACTTGTTATTGATAGCAAGTTTTATGAAACATGGCCCTAGCTGCAATGTACAAATGTGTTATGAGTGACATAATTGGTCACATTTTCAATTCAATTTTAGTATACATTTAAGTATTCACAACCCAACCTGGGCCCCATTTCACGAAACTTGTCATAAGTGACAAATGACAGTTTTTGTTATAAGCTAGTGAAATCCTTGCTTCTGATTGGTCGTCAGCAGATTTGTCACTGATTTTTGTCATTTGTCATTGAAAAAAGGCTTTGTGAAACGAATCCCAGGACCATTTTCCTTACCGTCTGTCAAATCTCAATGCCATTTAAGTGCTTTCCACAAAATCGGCTTTTATTTATCATACCACATGGTTGCAGTGAATTTCAGTTTAGTATGCAACTTTTTCAGCCATTCACTATCTAATTAACTCTATGCTCTGAACTATTTGCACTGTATTGTATTGATCTTGTGTGTCATCCACTCATTCATTAAGATCCACTATAAATGTATAATTATGATTGATATAAAAAAAAACTCCCAAGTTGTTTTTGTTTTTTCCTGGCCTTTGTGTGCCGTACAATTGGGTGTCTGTGAGAATGATCGTGAATTTGATATCCTATTATCTTTTTCTTGTTTTAAAATCTCCCTCTAATATATCTCTTCATCTTCTCTTCTACATTTCTCTCAAAGTCCAATATATTTCTATCTCAATTCTTAAAATCTTCCTCCCAACATTTTTATGCCTCCGCCTACCGAAAGTGGTACTGGAGGCATTACGTTTTCAGGTTATCTGTCCTTACATGTACGTCCGTCCGCATTCTCGGTAACGCGATATCTCAAGAACTACTTGAGAATTGAACTTCAAACTTTATTATAGTATGTATCACCATAGGAAGACAATCTGATTAGGTTTTGGGGTCACATAGGTTAATGTCTGAAATTGCATGTTCTGACCTTGCTAAATGATCTCGACAACCACAAGAGATAGGCTTCTTGCTTTCATTGTGATATGTCACAAATGATTCCATCCATTTCCTAAACTGAATTTAGGGCAGTTAGGAGACATATAGGAGACACGGTTGTATTTGTCTAGTTTCATTCTTCTTTCTGTCACATATCTTTCATTTCTCCAACATCTTAGTTACTTTCTCTTTCTGTCACATTTCATCATCATCATTTGTTAAAGTCGGCATTTTGATTCTTACAAGGTGTTACCGACTTTTGTGCCAGAGCCATCTATACACAGAGTTTGGCCAATTGGGTTTCATTGGGCCACAACATGGCATATATTCTTTTGTTTTGTGCTTGCCCAACAAAGCAGTAGTCGCCATGTTGTGTCCAACTCGAACCGGGTTGGCCAAACTCTGTGTATAGATGGCTCTGGCACAAAAGTCGGTAACACCTTGTAAGAATCAAAATGCCGACTTTAACAAATGATGATGATGAAATGTATAGATGGCTGTTTCGTGCCATAATGCATGACACTCCCCCTCTTCATTTCTCCATCCTCCTCATTTAGACCTAGACCAACCTAAATGCTTTCTTTCTCCACCATATTTTTCCATAAAGTCTTGTGGCTTCCTTTCCCTCTTATGCCATCCACCTCCAGATCCCACACTCTCTATTCACAGGTTCATCATCTTCCCTTCTCAACACATGACCCATCCAGCTCAATCCGCTTCTCTTTACCTCTTCCACCAGTCTCTTCCAGACCCAACCTCTCCATGACTCGTATTCTTTCAACCGGACAGTTTGACACCATATATTCCATATACCGGTACATTCTACTACTGTCCTTACATTCCAATTTTCTGAACCATATACCATGGCTGTTCTAACACATCCCTTCTTTTTTATTCTCCTTAAAGAGAAGGTTGAGTTCTGGGATGAGGTGAAAAATAATTTATGAGTGTTATCATTGTTATTATGCAATTGTGGAAGAGCATCAGATTAGAAATAGTCCCTGAAAAGCATGGCTCTTCAAATGCTTTAATTTTCTAAATATGGCATGTAACAGCATACAATTCGGGACAGATTTTTATGCCACATGTTTGTGTAGTCCCATACACATCTTTCTGTGTACAGTGCTTGTTACTTTACCAAGACTGGGCCAAATTTCTTATCATTTTGATGATTCCAGAACTTTGCAGTACTTATATACTAGATGATCAACCTTTTCTGATCGATTTCACAATGCAATCGCATGACCAGACCAGAACTCAACTTTATCTTTAAATCTATAACACTATAATACCCATTCCAAAGAAGTGTTCATTGAAAGAAAATGTCATATTTAATGCTACTTGATAGATCAAGTAAATTTGAAAGCATCCATGCAAGGAATTTCAATTTCATGACAACCTGAATTCAAAATTCATGATTCATTTACTATTCAAAGTTAACATATCATGACAATTCATCATTCCAAGGGAACAATTCAAAATAGGCCTAATTCAAAATCATGAAAATCATCAGTATCATTTGAATCTTCTTGCCTACCACTTCTAACATTATACTGACATCTTCATATGTTTTAAATTCAGAGGGGAAAATAAATTAGTAATATCTAGGTGCAAAGTATATTAAGTATATGTCTACACAGCATAAGTTAGTTACAAACGGTGAAGTATTACAAAAGAATATAATGGTGTTACTAATAAAATCATTTGGAGTATAAACTTTGAATACTAGATTCTCACGATTCAGCCATTTGTACATGTCGTGTATTTCATATCAGAATTCAGTCTGAATACATTATTAAAGTCTGTTTCCCATGGGGGTGGTGTCCAAATACAGTGAAACCTGTATATAAAGACCACTCAAGGAGATAAAAAAAAGCTGTCTTTATAAGCAGGTGGTCTTTATGGACATGTTCCTTTTATAACAAGTTTCAATTAGAATTTCTGCTCGAGAAAAACAAAAAATGAGGTCTGTATAAACTATTTGTCTTCCTTTACAGGTTGTCGTTTAAGTAGGCTTGACTGTTCTCTGGTATTTTACATTTAAACATTAAATATGCATTAAATATGCATTTTGTCTCCTCTTCCTTTCCTCCTCCTCTTCTTCTTCTTCCTCTTCCTCCTCCTCTTCTTCTTCCTCTTCCTCCTCCTCCTCCTTCTTCATGATTATTATTCACTAATAAATATTCATATTAAGAGCACCACTATTTAATCTTGTCAAGAGATTCACCATGAAAACAACAACCTTGAAAGAGACCCTACTTACACATGCAAAATATAAAAAAATAGAACAATAATATTAATAAACAATGGATTGAAGTCCGAGAGATATTTGAATAGTAATACACGATTCTTTCTCACATTAATGTCCTAAACTCGGACAATACAATGATGAATGTTGTGTATTGGAAATGGCATTTACTTCCAGATACGAGCACTTGAACACATGATGTACATGTTTGTTACAAAGAGATCACAGAATACATGATTCTCTACATTTCACTTTGGTCAATCTAGAATGCACTGAAATCATGTGCTCAGCACACATACATTTTATCAACACATATTCAGTTAAACTGAAATCAAGGAAGACGGTTTATAAAAGAAATCAAGGTTTCTAAATATTTCATCACTCTTTATGAGCTGTACTCATGAACACTGCCCACAAACATGATCATATCTTTACTGTCCAATATTAGGCTTCACTGTTAGATTTCAATCCACTCTTGTAACAAAATATATACTTCAATGTTTCATATATAAGTATCATACACTGCTTAAAGCAGCTAAGACTGTCATCATCGCCATTCAAAAATAATTTCATAACTATTTCTCGTAAAAAACGTAAAAAAGTAATATTACACCAAAATTGAATTATATTTTATATGAACTGTTTCTGAACATGATATAGTTTTACTTTATCAAAAAGAATACTAATTAAAATTTGATACAAACGGTCTTAAGCTGATCTCGGAATACAGGCCAATAAGGGATAGAGCAACGTCGATCTGGCGCTGCTCAGTAACTGCCGGGCTCATGATCAATTGGGCAAAAAGAATTTTCGTTTCAGTTTAATAAAATTTGGACTGGACTAAAGAGATTATTATTATTATTATTATTATTATTATTATTATTATTATTATTATTAATGAATTTGTTATAAACAAACAAAAAATCTACCAGTAATAGCTACGTGTATCACTCAAAGGCAATGTTAAACAATATATGAAAGCAAATATTTACACAGATGTGCAATTGCTTTAAAAAAAGCTATCAGAATTGTGTTTTCCAAAGAACAAAAACAAAGCAATATTAAAGCAAAGATCTACATAGTTTATGCAATTGCACTGAAAAAAATACAGGTGTGTATCCCATAACCATGTTTTATGAAAGTAAAAGGTCTCTATATAAAAGTGATGTAGACTGTGCAGTCACACTGAATGTACTAATAAATACTACCATGTAAGAGAAGTCTTACACTAGTGTAGCCTTGGTGTGTGTTAAGTCCGTTGGTCGCTTACTTGCGGGCGATGTCATAGTTGGCTACAAACCATTCTACCGTCTCCCTCAAAGCTGCAAGAGAGAAAAAGAGAGAAAGACAGAGAGAGACAGAGAGAGAAAGGCAAAGAAGAGGGAAGGACAGAATGAGAGAGACAGACAGAGAAAGAGAGAGTGAAAAAGAAAGAGGGAGAGAGACAGACAGAGAAAGAGAGACAGACAGAGAAAGAGAGACAGGACAGAGAGAGAGAAATAATATATACATTTTGAAAAGGTGAATCCTGAGTGTACTGGTGATGTTATCAATTATCAAATTTGATGACCCCCCCCCCCCCCCTCATTTTTCTTTACAAGCTTTTGGTGAACGTACATTTTGCAAGACAAGTTTTAATCATAAACAAAAACTTTCAAAGAGTCCACTTGAGGGCAGTTCAATATCCCAACACTTCTTTTCATGAGCGAACAATAAGCCAGTTCACGGTTGCAGTCTGAGCATGAGCAGTTAAAGGTCATTGCAGAACAAATTGTGAAATACACGAAGACGTAATACTGGATACGTGCTCATGAAAGTTATGTAATCATTATTCATCTATGCACTCCTGATACACAGGCGGAAGTATTCTTTGAAAAGGGGAAACAAAGGCTATTTGTGTAGCACCTCCATCGCTGTAGGAGGGATTATTTAAAAAATGTACAAAGTGAGACATCTTCATGATTTGAAGATCTGTGGAAATTCGGGGTCATTGCAGTAATGTGCTAACCGTGAACTGGTCTATTACAATAACATCTGACATTATCCACACATGATATCTATGGGGAATACTATAGAGTACCAAAGTTCTAATGTCATGTTCGGTCACAGTCCAGGTTACTGGTTCTACAAGAGAGAACCTGCACATGAGCTTCACTGCAAAATCATTCAAGCAACAGAATGGAGCAGTGTTTGGGGCTGGTTTGATCACCACACAATTGTTTACAACAAAATTGTTTGGAACCAGCAACCTTGACAACTTGGTCAGTATACTTGACAACATACTTTGGTACCCTATGGGTGCGTTCAATCAACACTTTTTCACCCTAGAAACACGGTTTTCAAAGACGTTTAGTTTAAAACACAGTTGCGTTCAAGCAATTTTTTTGTGGGTCGTAAAAATAAACGTGTTTAAAAAACGCAAACATAAAACGCTGAAAAAACGCTGAAAAAACGCTGAAAATCGCTTGAAAATCGCTTGAATAAATAGAGATCTCAAGCACAATTCTATAACCTCATTTCGAGGCTTGCTTCTGGTTTGGCTGACAGTCGACTGTAAACAAATTCAGAAAGCATGCAGCAAAGTTGACCTATACTTCCTGGGTAAAACTACACAGTGTGATGAGCAGTGGCTGGGCTTGAGATGAGTGAGAATCAGCGTTGATGAAAAATCGCTTGAATGCTCTTCCGCAGTAACTGTGTTTTGTAATGGCGTTTTGATTTGTGATTAATGTTTGTGATTCTAGCTTCAAAAAATTGATTGAATGCACCACCCTATATGTAGAGTATTGGTATTCATGACGAAAACAGTCCATTTAAACTTCACCCCACTTTGGACCCGAAAGTGGGGTGCATTTTGGTGGTAAGCTCACCACAGAGCAAGAGAGAGTTAGAGTCCCTAATCTGCAGTATAAACAAACTTTGCCAGGACATCGCCAGCCCAACCTTGATAAGTACTGCTTGGAACTCCTCCATGATGTTCTAGTCTTATTCGCAGTCTCATATAGGTTCGGATTATGTCCATTCTCATAGCTACCGGTATACATGGGAGATGCCAGTTTCATCTTCCTTGCTTCACTTTATAAGCATAGTTATATCAGGAACTTCCTGGTGATAATTATGTTCCTTTCAAGTTTCATCATAATTGTCTAGTTCGATATAGTACATGGACACAATTAAATATGATATTGTCTAAAATTGTCAAAAATATCTTAACATCGAAATGATTTCTGGTCATGTTTAACTATTTTAATTGAAGCCTTTTTACTTGATCTAATACTTTTATGAGGATGACATAGTCCGCAATAAACTTGACAAACATTATCATCCATACTATATGTCGTAGCTATAACAATAATTACTCATGAACCTCACACTACAAGGACAACATTCATCCAGATTCTGAGATTGCTCATTCTCACGAAGCTTGGTGTACGCGAAGATATCGGGAAATAAAGCGGTCTGTAATACCAGACACGCAAGTGGGGTATTTCGGTCCCCGTTCACCGAAAAGTGAGATTCTCCATTTGAAAGTCGGGTAAGGTCGACAAATATAGCCTCTGTTAAAGGCGTTACTCCGCCACCAAATTTATTCGCATAGACGAAATAAACTCGAACGCGTTTAGAAAAATGGTGTAGGCCTAGGCCTATAAGGAAAGGCCGGGAAAACATACATTTTGTTGGTTTGACCGTTAAATATTTTTGAGGTATTAAAGCAAGAATAGAATGTTGTAAATATTGTTTTCGTTACATTTATTCCGTGCGTAATCTCAAGGTCTACTCAACTTTCTTTGCCTATTTATTGCCCCCCCCCCCCCAAACGGCAGATCAAGGATTTGAAAATAGGGAGTGGCCGGGGCTCAGACGTCAAATTTGAAATGGGGGGGGGGGGGGGTGGTTGTTTAGGCAGACGGCATATTTCTTGGAATTCGTTATAAAGACGGTATTTGAAAAAATGATGATTCTGGCAAGATAAGAATTAAATTTCATCAAACTTTTATTCAATTTAATATGATCTGTATACGTATAGGATACAATATTTATTTCCCCATAACACATCAAGCCGTGATGATTGAATGTCCAAACACGAAAGAAACAGAAACTCTCAAATCCACAATTCTTTAGAAAGATAATAATTAGCCGAGTAATTAGGGCATTACAAGACATCGAAGGACTTAATCTATTTTACAATAGTTGATGCAACCATAATGGAACATTATGCTTCTCGATACTGAGGATATGAAATTTCAGCACAAGTGTATTTGGTTTCAAAATTTTATAGCAGTTTGTTAAAGAAACATTTCGATGCTCACTTGTATAATAAATCTCTATGACAAGCTCATTTTTATCACGACAGTTAAACCTTTTCACTTTTTGATACTAAAGATTGTTGAAGAATTGCCTAATTGACTGCTCGGATGATTTTTTACCTTTCTCCGAAACCTCTTGGTTTTTTGCTCATGATTATAGCGCATTATTCTTTTTGTCACTGTATGTATTAATGAGCAAATACATATCTGCACAACGAACGTCTTTATGATTATGATGTCCTCGTTTCGTTGTATGTTATAAATTCAATATCATGACGAGAAGTGCGTCAAAAATATCTTAACATCGAAATGATTTCTGGTCATGTTTAACTATTTTAATTGAAGCCTTTTTACTTGATCTAATACTTTTATGAGGATGACATAGTCCGCAATAAACTTGACAAACATTATCATCCATACTATATGTCGTAGCTATAACAATAATTACTCATGAACCTCACACTACAAGGACAACATTCATCCAGATTCTGAGATTGCTCATTCTCACGAAGCTTGGTGTACGCGAAGATATCAGGAAATAAAGCGGTCTGTAATACCAGACACGCAAGTGGGGTATTTCGGTCCCCGTTCACCGAAAAGTGAGATTCTCCATTTGAAAGTCGGGTAAGGTCGACAAATATAGCCTCTGTTTAAGGCGTTACTCCGCCACCAAATTTATTCGCATAGACGAAATAAACTCGAACGCGTTTAGAAAAATGGTGTAGGCCTAGGCCTATAAGGAAAGGCCGGGAAAACATACATTTTGTTGGTTTGACCGTTAAATATTTTTGAGGTATTAAAGCAAGAATAGAATGTTGTAAATATTGTTTTCGTTACATTTATTCCGTGCGTAATCTCAAGGTCTACTCAACTTTCTTTGCCTATTTCTTGCCCCCCCCCCCCAAACGGCAGATCAAGGATTTGAAAATAGGAAGTGGCCGGGGCTCAGACGTCAAATTTGAAATGGGGGGGGGGGGTGGTTGTTTAGGCAGACAGCATATTTCTTGGAATTCGTTATAAAGACGGTATTTAAAAAAAATGATGATTCTGGCAAGATAAGAATTAAATTTCATCAAACTTTTATTCGATTTAATATGATCTGTATACGTATAGGATACAATATTTATTTCCCCACAACACATCAAGCCGTGATGATTGAATGTCCATTGCATGTAACACGAAAAAAACAGAAACTCTCAAATCTACAATCCTTTAGAAAGATAATAATTAGCCGAGTAATTAGGGCATTACAAGACATCGAAGGACTTAATCTATTTTACAATAGTTGATGCAACCATAATGGAACATTATGCTTCTCGATACTGAGGATATGAAATTTCAGCACAAGTGTATTTGGTTTCAAAATTTTATAGCAGTTCGTTAAAGAAACATTTCGATGCTCACTTGTATAATAAATCTCTATGACAAGCTCATTTTTATCACGACAGTTAAACCTTTTCACTTTTTGATATTAAAGATTGTTGAAGAATTGCCTAATTGACTGCTCGGATGATTTTTTACCTTTCTCCGAAACCTCTTGGTTTTTTGCTCATGATTATAGCGCATTATTCTTTTTGTCACTGTATGTATTAATAAGCAAATACATATCTGCACAACGAACGTCTTTATGATTATGATGTCCTCGTTTCGTTGTATGTTATAAATTCAATATCATGACGAGAAGTGCGTCAAAAATATCTTAACATCGAAATGATTTCTGGTCATGTTTAACTATTTTAATTGAAGCCTTTTTACTTGATCTAATACTTTTATGAGGATGACATAGTCCGCAATAAACTTGACAAACATTATCATTCATACTATATGTCGTAGTTTATAACAATAATTACTCATGAACCTCAACACTACAAGGACAACATTCATCCAGATTCTGAGATTGCTCATTCTCACGAAGCTTGGTGTACGCGAAGATATCGGGAAAGAAAGCGGTCTGTAATACCAGACACGCAAGTGGGGTATTTCGGTCCCCGTTCACCGAAAAGTGAAATTCTCCATTTGAAAGTCGGGTAAGGTCGACAAATATAGCCTCTGTTAAAGGCGTTACTCCACCACCCAATTCGGAACAGCTTGCCACATGCAGTATCGTGAATGCGCCGCGGCACTCTGAGCGGCCGTTTCTCAGTGTATTTTCTTTTAGTGTTCTTAAAAATTCGCCGTGTCGTTTGATCAAAGAGGTACTGGGCAAGCTTGCCTATTAATGATTTGGTTCAATACATAAGCCATCTAACCTTTATGTTTTAAGGTAATGATTATATTCATGCAGAAAAACTAAAATACTTGTGACAGTGCGATTATTTCAAGTTGCCCTTTTTAGGTTATTATGCAGCAACATGACCAATCAAAGTTTGGTCCAGTTAACGCTTGTTGGTTGGTGGTTTTTTTAAAGTTTATTTGTCCAATTAACTTCTTTATCTTCTCAATGTTTCCTTTCCATGTTTCCTTTCCATCTTTCCTCATGTTTTTCACTATTATCACCTTTGTTCTATATACCTTTCGGCTGATATTATTCTTTATTTTTCTCCTTCTTTCAACATCTCTTTTCTAATTTTCATTATATATTTCTTTATTTTCTCCTAATTTTATCTTCTTTAGCCATCTTTCCTTATGCCCTTCTTTATTTTCTCCGTCTTTCTAATTTTCATCTTTCCTTATGTATTCCTCTATTTTCACCTTGTTTTATTCTCTCTATCTTTTCTCATGTATTTCTTTATGTCTTACCTTCATTATCTTCTGTTTCCATCTTTCCCTGTGTATTTCTTTTTAAACCTTCTTTTATCTTCCTTTTCCATCTTTCCTTATGTTATTCTTTATTTTCTCCTAATTTTATCTTTTTCATCTTTCCTTATGTATTCCTCTATTTTCACCTTGTTTTATTCTCTCTATCTTTTCTCATGTATTTCTTTTTTTTTCTAACCTTCTTTATCTTCTGTTTCCATCTTTCCTTATGTATTTCTTTTTAAACTTTTTATCTTCCTTTTCCATCTTTCCTTTTCCATCTTTCCTTATGCTATTCTTTATTTTCTCTTCCTTCTTTCCCTCCATTTCCATCTTTCCTTATTATCACCCGTCTTTCCCTATTTTATCCTCCCTTTATATTTTCCTTCCTTTATATTTTCCTTCTGCATTTTTCCATTGCCAAGCACATCAATGTTCTCTTCTATACGTAAAAGAAAGTAGCTAGTACTTGCTATAAAAAAAACAATATGAAGTGAGACTTTAGACACACTGTATCCAGGCCTATTATAAATATAGGTGTAGGGTCTGCGATGAGAAGACTATGAATCTGGACTGGATATCAGATACCAGCTAGTAATCCCTTTATCAGTAACTAGGCTATGATTGACCACTGTCTCTCTCCCCATGGACCCTACTGGTAATCCCTTTATCAGTGGTCAGTGCTCCTATCAGATTATGGTAGCTCCAGGAAAAGTGGTGAACTGGTGAGCAGAGCTCAAATGAGATGTTTTCCTAATGGAAACTTACCTTGCTTTATAGGAGTGAACTCAAAGTCTGGACGGTATTTCTTGAGTTTAGCATTGCTGGCCGTCTTCTTGAATTGACCATCTGATTTATCTGTATCGTACTGAGGTTGCGAAGCAAAGAATTAAGGAAACATCACATGAAAACTATTTGCTATGAATTGCATACACAGACTTATTGAATTGCCATGAGTATACCACCATTGCTTAGCTAGACTAAGGTCTTATTTAGACATAATAATAATAATAGGCATTTATATAGCACTGTCTATCTAGACAATTCTATTCTGAGGCGCACAAGAAAAATAGAAAGAATAAGAGAGTTTGGATGAGTGTCATAGTGACAAGTACAAGTATTGTTAAAAAAGATGAGATTTCAGCTTGGATTTAAAGCTCTCTAAAGCTACAGTCCCATATACGTCCCGGACCGTCCCGGACCATCCCGGACCCCATCCGGGGTGATCCGGGATTCGGTCCGTGTTGACACCGTGTTGGCACCGGGGTGGTCCTGGATGGTCCTGGATGGTCCGGGACGGTCCGGGACGTATATGGGACTGTAGCTGTAGCTTAAAAGCATCACACTTTTTTGAACAAAACATCCCGGACCATCCCGGATCACCCCAGACCATGGTCCGGGATGGTCCGGAGTGGTCCGTGCTCGTCCGTGCTGGTCCGGCTTTATATGGGACTGGGGCTTAAGGAAGTTATGATTCTCAAATTAAATGGTCAATTATTCCAAAGAGAAGGTGCTGCAACTGAAAAGGGTCCTTTCACCACAGGCTACTCGCATCTGGGGGATCTTAAAGGCATTGTTTAACAATGTTAAATCTGAGTTTAAATGACCCTACGTGTTATCAGTGTCTGTGATATGGTATAATATTGAAGCCCTACAAAAATTGTGCTTCAAAATGATCATGAAGTGCCTCAAAAAAGTAGAAATCTTTGAGTGACTGGTTTTACATACCTGCCAACCTGAGACAAGAGAAATTAGGAGTAAATTTTTCTGGATGGACTACGAGGTCGCGAACCACCGAAGGATTGGGGTGGTAGCCCGTAGATTGGGAGGGGGGGGGGGGGGGTACACAGGACTTTAGGGTCTATTTTTTTTTTCTCTCCATTTTAATGGTGCAAATGGGCCTTTTCCTTCAACCTTTTCGCCCCACACATAAACAATTTTTGAAATATCAAAATGTGAACATTCACAAAACTACATTTTTCACTACCCACCTCAGTTAGGAGCCCTATTTTGCAAAGGTAGAAAAGAAGAATTGAAGGTTGAAATTGGACGAGCCTTGTTCTTAATTTCGCTGAAAGCTTTATGTTTCTTCGAGTTCATGTGTTTCTGAATGTCATTCATTCCCCAATGATACTGAAGTCGGCCGAACACACAATGCAAAATGCGTGTTGAAGTCCGAGTGCTGATTCTGCAACTGGAAATTGTTTCCCGTATTCTTTCTTATACTTCTGATTATGAACAGCACGAGTCTAACCCATTTTGTCCTTCAAAAATGGAGAAATCAACGAAGAAGAAGAATATAGTAGTAGTAATCCAAAATAAATCCGAGGAAGTCCGGTAAATAACAAGCTTCCACGATCGCAGTCATCGCACAAGCATTGAAGAAAACATGCCAATGTATACAGTGTTTATGCACGGTGTATACGTGTATCAACTGCACATGTAATATAAATACACGTGGGCTATACGGATGCAGTTACTATGCTATGCAACAACGCTGCATGTAGTGTACATGTATGTATTAGTACAACGTCCGCACACACTTTATCGATATAGCTTGCGCACGTGCAGTACATGGATAATGACTGCGGAACTAACGATCATGTTCGGGCTGCGCTGTGTATATCTTCTATGAGCGCGAGCGCGGATGTCGGCGTGATCTGGTCATCAGTGTGTGAGTGTGTAATTGGGTTTTGACAGACGTGTATCAATCAGATATGATTATTTACGTCTGGGGACCGACCTTAAACGTCACCATCCGAAAGACGTGACTCAGTTTCGAACCTGCGTCCTCGGCTGAATCAGTTTGTAACTTCCACTGTTAGCTGGATTACAGGCGCACGCCACAACGCCTAGTTGTGTTATGCTTTAGTCTTATGCAACAGTCGTTTGTTTTAAAAATATTTTAAAATTTAAAAAAATCGGAGTTTTGAGGCATGCACTCGGAATTCGGAGTTGGTATGAAAAATGCGGAGGAACTCCGCCTAAATCGGGGTGGTTGGCAGGTATGGTTTTACCATACTCATTTTCTCCAATAGACTGTAGTGTAATGAAAACCGTTAGGAAAACGAAAAATGAAATTTCGATTTCCAATCATTTATATCTTGATAATCAGACAGGCGATCAACTTATAAAAGTCATGGGATTCCTGACTGACCTAAAGGTTTATAATTATTATTGCCCCATGAGCTTAATCCAGGATTTTGTTTTAGAATTTGAGATGCTGGACACTATAGTGTAACATGTACGCTAAATACGGTATCGGTTGTTGTTAAGGATACGACCACCTCCCCTTTGAAGTCGAAAGCCTCGACGACATGCTCTGCGCACTCCTTGATGGATACCTCATCCTCCTCACCGACCGAGAGGATGATGGGCTCGACCTCGTCGTATTCTCGTAGAACCCAGACGAAGAGTCGAGCCAGATCGTAGGAGTAGATGAACTGACGTAGAGGTTTCCCTGTCCCCCAGATGGTCAGGGGTGTGCCGTCACCTAGGAACAATAATTAAAAATTAAAAATATTTTAAAAATCTATGAAACACATTCAGAAGTTTACATATCAAAACATGAGATGTACATGTACTACACACCAACTGGACTTAACTTGCATTTGGATGGCAGGGGCCCTTTATTAAGACCTTTTACAAAGGTATAATGCACTTCAATGTATATAAGAATTGTTCTATAATTATTTTTATGTGGTGGTGGTGGTTATTTTACCTGACTGCTAAGAAAGCAAGTAAGCAACCAGACGGCCGACGGCTATAGGTCCTCTCCGAGGGACCCTGTAATGAGGATTAATGCCTTACCAAAGGGCACTAGCGCATCGCCTTGTTTTCGAACCCGGGTCACCGGATTACGAGACCACTGCTTTACCGACTGAGCTATCGCGCCTCCTCATACAGCAGCTAACCCAATTTAAGTCCATTGAAAAAGAGACATACTGAAGTAGGCATATTGTGGGCATTGTGGGCGTTGTGGCGTGCAGCTGTAATCCAGCTAACAATGGAAGTTACAAACTGAGTCATGTCTTTCAGATGGTGACATTACAAGTCGGTTCCCAGACGTAAATAATCAGATCCGATTGATACACGTCTGTAAAAACCCAATTACAAACACACACAAGCATCCACTATCTCCTAAAATGTTAACATTTTGCTTGGCCCCATGACCTTTGACCTTACGTTTTGCTGTGTAGACCTTGTGCATGAGTCCGGGGATCACATGACCGTCTTCCAGGTTGAAGTTATCCCATTGACCGAAGACGTTGGTTGGAATGACCGATGTGAACTTGCAGCCATGCTGGCTACGGTATGCTCTGTAAGGGGGGGGGGGAGGGGGGAATAAAACATTACATTAAAGGGATCATTTAACAATGTTAAATCTGAGATGCATGACCCCACATGTTATCAGTGTCTGTGATATGGTGTTTTATTGAAGCCCTACAAAAATTGCGCTTCAAAATGATCATGAAGTGCAAAAAAAAGTAAAAATCTTTGAGTGACCGGTTTTACCATACTCATTTTCCCCAATAGACTGTAGTGTTATAAGTTTTGGAAACTTCAATTTCTGATCAATAATATCTTGATAATCAGACAGGCTTGTAAAAGTCATTGGATTCCTGACTGACCCAATGTTTATAATTATGATTGCAGCATGAGCTAAATCCAGGATTTTGTTTAGAATCTGAGGCAAAGATACCCAATCCCTTTAACGTTGGCAGCTATGAAGTTGCATTCTTACTTGTTCTGTACGTCAATGCTACGCTTGGCATAGGAATAACCGAAGTTGGAATCATGAGGGGGACCGTTGTGGATCATGGTTTCATCGATGGGATAAGTAGTCTTGTTTGGGAAGATACATGTCGACAAGCAGGATACGACCTTCTGGACGCCATTTTTGTAAGAGTTATGCAAAACGTTGTCGTTGATCTTGATGTTGACCCTCTGAAATAGGACACAAAACAGATGTTTAATATTTTTATTACTATCAGGGGTGATCGTGAACACTGACAAAAATAGGGGTTTTTTTCCCCCTCAACCACACACCCCCCTTGAGTAAAAAAAGGGGGGATTCAGGGAGAATGGGAAAAATAGAGAAAATATGGGGAAAATCAGAAAATTCAAGATAAAATCGGGGAAAAAAAAGAAGAAAAAAAATACTTATAATAATTGGGTGAGAAAAAAGAAAAAAAATTGGGAAGAAAAAAAAAATCAGGAAAAAATCGGGAAACCGATTTTAAATTGGGTAATTATCAGGCCCGTACTATTCTAGAATCAATATCTAAGTGGATCAATTTTCAAAACATGTTTTGTTCTTGATGGAAGGGGTTCCATATGACTATAAAGCATTCAGAATACGAGTTTTTAATATTTCTGCAAGCTTGGTAAACAGCTTTAAAACCAGACTTGACAAAAACTGGAAGGAGCAATATCATTCACCCTTCTCCCAGTTGACACTCCAATTATGACAATCCTGATATGACCCAGCAAGCAAGATATAGACGTAAAATGACTATGGTGCAAGACCCGGAAGCTGGGACATCCCCCCCTTATTCAATGATATATTGCAGATTCCATAGTACGATGTGCATGGTACCCAAGTCAGACTTATTTAATAGTTTCATGTAATTTTCGATTTTTTTTTTTTTAATTTTATTTTTTTTTTAAATATTTTTTTTAATAATTTTATTTTTTTTTTAAATATTTTTTTTAATAATTTTATTCAATAACTTCTAACCTACGAGTGGTGAAGTTAACATATTTTATGAGTGATTTTATACACTCCAGCTGCAGCATAACACAATTTTTTTTTCTTCATGTGATCGGAACATTTTAATAATTAAAGCCCCTTTAAAGTGTTGGGAGCCCCAACAAATTTGATGGCAAAATTTCACTTAAATACAATGTGAAAGAGGATGTCATTTAAGACACATTTCTGCAATGATCTTCAGAACAAATGTGTTTCAAGTCGACTATTAATGGAAGAACATACAATTTAGGTTTTCTCCATATTATGTATTCTTATATCAATATTTGTCTTCAAACACATATTTATTTATTTTTCTTTGCAGAAGTGTACATCTTAAATGAAAACCTCTTTTACATTATGATACAATTTGAGAGAAATAACAAAAAAAACGTTATGTAACGAAACGTTGTAAAAAAATACAAAAACAAAAACTGTTAAAAAAAACTTTAAATGGACCGGGGCTTATCATGAGCGGACTGAGCGCGCCCTGATTACTGCCCAGGGCCCGTATTCAACTCAATAATTAATTACAAAATTTAAGCCTTTTATCTTGGTATTTGGCTTACGGTAGATAAAATAGTTAGCCAATTTTGGTATTCAATTCAAACTTTTGGCTAAGTATTTTACCCTATATTTAAGACAGCTCCCTACCAGACTTAAGCGAATATTTGGAGGCCTTGATTGGCAGGCATATGGTTTTCTTACGCAGTATTATAACCTGCGCACAATTATATCAGCGCGCATTTATTGCAACGCATTAATTGCGCATTACTTTTGATTGACTGTGTGATGTCACAATGCTTTATATCAGTTAGTATTTTACTTAATAGCTTTTGTCTTATGCAAGTAGAAGTCTAAAATGTGATTTGAATACAAGATAATTAAATTTCTTAGCATAGCCATTTACTTAGTAAATTTCTTACTTATGCTTAGTATTGAATTTAATACCGGCCCTGATGCCATGTTAACTGACATATTTGAAAGCAGTTTCTTGATACGATGTTGTTTTCTCACTATACATTGATTATTTTAAAGAGAAGGTTGAGTTCTGGGAAGAGGTGAAAAATAATTTGTGAGCATTACTCATTCTTATTATGCAAGTGTGGAAGAACACCAGTTAAGACATGTTCCCTGAAAAGCATGGCTCTTCAAATGCCTTCATATTCTAAATATACATGTAACATCGTAGAAATCGGGGGCCGGCTTTTTACGCCACGTGTTCGTGTAGTCCCATATACATCTTTCTGTGCAAGTGTTTGTAACTTTACCAAGACTTGGCCAAATTTCTTATCATTTTGATGATTCCAGAACCTTGCAATACACACAAATTCTTATATGCTAGATGATCAACCTTTTCTGGTCGGTTCCACACCGTTTCTTTCACAATGCAATCGCATGACCAGAACTCAACTTCATCTTTAAATATGACGTTTTAAAAAACAACATTACTTACCCAGAAGTCTAGATTGTGTTTGAGATTATAGAAGAGGCCACCGACCATGGCCGCTAAATGAATGATGTGGGTTGGCTGATACTTCTCAAAGAGGGCAGCAGTTTCTTCTTCTGACCTGAGGTGAAAATAATAATAATAAGATTTATAAAACGGGTTCAAGAATGTAGCCAATGAGAAGCGTCAAAATGGATCACGTGTGTGTGCATTTACTTTTTAGGCGACGGTGTAACATCAAATTTTTTTCTTCCTACATATCAGTGGTAACTTCTGGCTAGCAAAATACTAGGAAAAAGATTGAGTGTGCTTGGAAAAAAAATCTGTTGTAGTGAGGGAGTTAGAAAAAAATGAAAAGTTTTAAAGGCACCAAAAAAAGCAATATTTCAGCCTGTCATGAAGCAGTCTCCATGCATTATTTTTTTCCCTGCTCTTAAATTTATGCGCCTCTGAGTAAGATTGACTTTGTCTTAGCCAATCGTATCAGCCTCTCTGATAAATGTGCAGACTATAGTACCGTAATTAACGTTGTATAAACCGCCCTCGTGTATTAACCGCACTCCTCTTTTTTGCCCTTAAAAAAAAATAAAATAAAATAAAAGTTTTGTTTTGTTTTGTTTTGTTGTGCTGACTTTTTGGGGGGGCAGCAAGCCAGGTCCATGTTAAAAAACCCACGCGGGAAGGCCTTTAATTTAACTACGAGGTGCAGCTGAATGTGTAAGATCATTAACTTATAAAACAGTAGAGGATCTAGGATTGGACCTTGTGGTACGCCATTTAATAGAAGAAAAATTGGAGGAATTATTATTATAAACTACATATTGAGATCTATCAGAAAGATTACTTTCAAACCAAGATGACAGACAAATTTGAGTGTTGTTCTAAATTCCGAGTGGTGATTCAACACACCGATTACTGAGCTGGAAGACATTGCCAGGCATAGCGCCAGGTGGAGGGGAATAAATTGAAACTTAAAAAAAAAAAAAAAAAATTGGTGTACCGTGTATAAACCGCACCCCCGACTTTGAATTTTTTCGGCGGCAAAAAGGTGCGGTTTATACACTGTTAATTACGGTGTGTGGACATTGTTCACTGTGCTTGCACAGTTTGAGTGCAATTATCTCAGGCGAAAGAAGGCTGTGCTAAAATGATTTGTCGTACACATGGAGAGCAGTGAAATTGCTTGTTATAGCGGGAATGATGAACATTGTTTTACTTTGTTTTACGGGCACTGGATTTACATGTAGCTCGAAAAGCCAGAAAATCTTGTTATAGCCGATCTTGTTATAAGAGGTTCAGGCCGCCATAGAATTACAAGAAAATTGATATGGGCCCGTGACTATATCCTTGATAGGGGCCGCTTTAGGGCCCCTGGTGGGTTGCAGGGACAGTGCCCCAGGCAGGGGCCTAGGAGTCTAAGCCCCCAGAAGCTCTCAAGTTTTGGCAATTCAGAACATTCTAGATAGCCGTCGTGAGCGATAAAAACTCTAATCCATAAACCATCTGCATAAAAAGGCTTAATCCTTTACTGAATAGGGATTCAAGGCTATACATTGTTACCTTTCTTCACTCCAGTGATCTCAAGGCAGCAAGAAATTGTGTAAGTATTAAAGGGTCAACGGGAGTGTTTTTGAGAAGCTTTAACTACATGTATACAACTCACACTCTCTCCAATTTTATACAACAAAGGGTTGTCTTGGGAACCACTTCTATTTTTTACGGAAGGGGTGCAGGGGGAGAGCCTTTGCCGGGAGTCTGGGGGGGGGGGGGGGGGGGACTGCCAATGCCCACATGAAACATCACAGAGTACAGAAGAAGTACTTATCAATTGCATTCATCACTCCAAGTCCTTTGAACTTTCTGCACTACCTCCAAAGAGCACCTTTTTGGCTCAAATTTATATTTCCAACACTACATAACTCAATGAAATTGATATCAACTTGAAGGTACATGTATACAGGTGTACATGTATATCTGGAGACACCAAATCTATTGGTGATTAGAGCTTTTACTTTATAGTTATCTTTATTAAAAGCTCGATGTGAACACACCAGACCTGTCCTCAATACACTAATACATGTATATGAATTAGTGCTCTAACATCACGGATATCTCCAATTCCGTTTAACCGCCTGTCAAAACCGGACGGTTTTCGGTTAAACGATTTATTTTTAAAAAAAAATTAAAAAAATAAATAAATAAATAAATAAAATTTAAAAAAAAAAAAAAAAAAAAAAAAAAAAATCGTTTTTTTTTTTTTTTGGCCGTGTGAAAAAGCAGGAAGGTGATTTAACTGAATGTGCCGATTTGGGCTTGTGAACTAGTCACAAATAATAGTAACAATGTCGTTTTACTGTAAGATCATTAAAGCAAATTAAAAACAGTATATAGAGGACCTAGGATAGAACCTTGTGGTACACCATGTGTTAAACTTGGATGAATATATATATATATATTGGGATCTATTACAAAGATTACTTTCAAACTAAGATGACAGACAAATTGGAGTGTTGTTCTAGTTTCCAAGTGGTAAGTCATCACACCGATTACTGAGCTGGGAGACATTGCCAGGCATAGTGCCAGGTGGAGGGGCATAAATCGAAACTTTAAAAAAAATAAAAATAAAAAAAAAAAAAAATATTAAAAAAAAAAAAAAAAATTATTTAAAAAAAAAAATAAAAAAAAAAAAAAAACGGGAAAACGAAACCGTCCAATTGAAAACGGAATCCGCCATGGGCGGTCGGATACCGGACGGTTAAACGTTTGACTACAGCACTAATATGAATGCAGTTAATACACATGTGGGAAAAAAAGTTGTTTTTGTGGAAATCAAATCAATAGCTTTGGGTTGCTTTAACGTTTCACCGAAAAGAGATATAAGCCTCTCCTTTGCACATTATATTGCCCTTGTACAGTGTACATGGGCAAATTCCTGGAAAGTTATTAAAAAAAAGGCACTTACATGTATCCAATTTTGATATATAGAAAATAACGGTTTTTGATTAAATTCAATATTTCGAAAAAATATCACAAAAAACTGTTTTTTTTACTTTTTCAATGTTTATTAATCCCAATTCTGTTGATATTGGTATCAAAATGTAGATAATTTAATTTTCTTTCATATGACACCAAGTTCATGGTGGTTCAAGGTTTTGTTAAAATGTTATTCACAAAATACTATTTTTCGTCTAAAGGGCCTCTATTTTGGACGCCCCCTCTGATTTAGGAGTGTTTGCTACAATATAATTTTAAAACACCCCTGACACAATGTGTATTATGATAAAATCTTTCGAATGAACAAGGTGTGCTTAGTTAGTGTGGTAGTGGCAGGCAAATTAACCCCTCTTTTCTGACTTTGGCCCTTCACTTACTAACTCTGTCTGTCTTTTGATGTGTTGAAGCCCCATTGCACTACTTACATGTATAGCAACTTGCGATCTCTATATAGCAGTCAATGCCTAATCGGTGACAATTGGTCCCCCATGGTCCTCTTTTTCTTACGTTAATTGAGAGCTGATTTTATGAGATAACCAGCTGTCAGTGACCATGCAGGGAGGTCTAATTCATCCTAGCCATACGAGTGCAAATAGGCTTTAAAGCCACACTGTCCTACTTGTAGCTACTTGCTCCCTCTTTATAGAAAACAATGCCTAATCGGTGACCATTGGTCCCCCATGGTCCTCTTTTTCTTACGTTAATTGAGAGCTGATTTGATGAGATAACCATCTGTCAGTGACCATGCAGGGAGGTCTAATTCCTCCTGGCCAAACTAGTGCAGATAGGCTTTAAGAGCAGCTATAGCACAGGGCTACATGGTAGTAAAATGAGAGCTGATTTGATGAAATAACCACCTGTCAGTGACCATGCAGGGAGGTCTAATTTCTCCTGGCCAAACTAGTGCGGATAGGCTTTAAGAGCAGCTAAAGCACAGGGCTACACGGTGTAGTAAACCATCCAGTATACAACTCTACATAGCCATACAGTCCAGAGACACTGTTACCCATGTCACCTGACAAGCCCCTGTGCCTGCAAATTACACTAGTCGCGTTTTCATCATCTCGAGATTGTCAAATAGCCCGCTATTTCTGATTTGGGAAATAATCCCAAAGTAACAAATCGCGTCTTCACTATCTCGAGATTCGACCTCGAAACTTGAAACTTGACCTTGAGAAATTAGCTCGAGATATTTTGCTCAGCGTTAGCGCGTATTGCGAATCTTCGGTCTTTAGAAGACGCAGGGGACAAATAGCTGGATATTTTGCCAAATAGTGGGATATTTTGCAAACTATCCCAAGATATCTTGGGATGACAATCCTGACCAAATATCCTTCTAATTGCTACTTCGGTCTGATGAGGACGCAAATTAGCTGGATGGTTTGCGATCGGGATAGTTCAAATAGCTGGATATTTGGCAATCTCGGGATAGTGGAGACAGGCCTATTGAGCCAAAATGACTACCACTTTACCTTTTATAATCCTTTCGGTTTACACATGGGACTACAACGTACCACAGGCACAGAGAGGACCTATAATCTATAAATAACAAAACGCTTCACCTCTTTGTATACCAGAGCCCCGTCTTACAAAGAGATGCAATTGTAAGTCCTCCAATCAATCGCAAGTCTGCAGTCTGCTATCTTTTATGTACACATGTATAGTAGTTGCGATTGATGTGAACTCTTTGACTTGGTGGGGAGAAAGCTTACAAATATTGGGTCTGAAAAAACCCTGAATATTTGAGTTGCTAACAAACAAAAATGGGCTCTCTGTGAATTGACTGCACATACAAAGCCAGGCAAACTTACAGGGTAAGGCATTTTAATTCAAGTGACTTGGCTGAATCTACACCCTTTTCTAAGCCTAAGCCTAGGCCTACCCCATTTGCATTTCAAACAGTTGAAGTACATGTACAAACAGATTTAAAGAGAAGGTTGAGTTCTGGGAAGAGGTAAAAAATAATTTGTGAGCGTTATCATTCTTATTATGCAAGTGTGGAAGAACATCAGATAAGACATGTTCCCTGAAAAGCATGGCTCTTCAAATGCCTTCATACCTGTATTCTAAATATGTCATATAACATCGTAAAAATCCAGGGTAGGATTTTTACGCGTGTTCGACTGTTCGTGTAGTCCCATATACATCTTTCTGTGTACAGTGTTTGTAACTTTACCAAGACTTGGCCAAGTTTCTTATCATTTTGATGATTCCAGAACCTTGCAATACACACAAATTCTTATATGCTAGATGATCAACCTTTTCTGATCGATTCCACACCGTTTCTTTCACAATGCAATCGCATGACCAGAAATCAACTTCATCTTTAAATGGCTTTCACTGTACTTGTTCAACAGAAGTAAATATTCCTGTATCCCAAAGGTCAGAGGTTAGTCTCTGAAATATGCCAATAGAAATAATGTTGACAATCAAGGACAGTGTATATAACAACATTTTCAGAGTTTTGGATGTTTTATTTTGTTTGGAATAGCAAATTTAAAACAAAGTTAAACAAAACAAGGAATTTGTTGATGTCTTTTTATAATCAAACTGGGGAAAAAAAACACTTGATACAGTTTATGTCTGTTCAGTCATACAGATTATGAGGCCTGTGGGTCATTCCATGTCAAATCACCCAATGGTTTTAACCCGACCATTTTTGATTTTGATGAAACTTAGTGTACTTGTTGAGTGTGATCTCACAGCACCAAATCCAAAATTTTAGGTCAATCGGATAAGGGGTTTGGGAGATACGGCCCACCAAGTTTTGAGATTTTTTCAAAAATGGGGGTGGCGGGCCTACCTTTGAACCCTTGTATTTCGGGACGTAATGGGTCAATCTTCACAAAATTTGTATTGTTGGAAAGGATATTCAATAAGGATTCCAAATCTGCTGCCATTTTGAAAATTTGTACTTGTTGGGGTACTTTGACCTCTTGACCTAAGATTTGACCTTGAAATTGACCTTGTGGATCACGTGACCTTGACAACATTTTTCATGAAATGTAATCTCTGACATGTTCTCTTAAACATATAAAAGTTTCAGAGATATGATATTTTTTGTTTAGGAGCAATAAGGATTGAAAGTATCCATACTTACAGATATTCACAATAAACCCTATCATAATGTATACAATACATGCAATATGCACAGTATAACATACATCTTCCACATGCTTTTTTGTTCGAGGCATATCCATTCTAAATGTCAGCAGTACTTGAATAGAAAATAAAATGACAAGTTCATATAGGCCTAAAGGGTTAACAGGATGTATGGCTTTTTAGGCCTCTGAGTCGGTTCTAGGATAATTACCCCCCTGGAAAATTAACCCCCAGGAAAGGTCCCCCCCCCCCTGAGGACAATTGCCCCCCAGAAAATTACCTCCTAGGACAATCTGTCCCCCCCCCCCCCCCGAGGACAATTACCCCCCGGACAATTACCCCCTAGGATAATTATCCCCCCCCCCCCCCTATTCATTTAAGGGGAAGTCCATCCTGATAATAAGTTGGTTTTTATCTAAGCAGATTTTTTTGGGGGGAGGTAATTATCCTTGAGGGGTAATTTTCCAGGGGGGGGAAGATTGTCCTAGGAGGTAATTTTCCAGGGGGGGGGGGGTTATTGTCCTCGGGGGGGGGGGGAAAGATTGTCCTAGGAGGTAATTTTCTGGGGTTAATTAACCTCTGGGTGTGATAGTCCTTGGGGTAATTGTCCTGGGGGGGGGGGGGGTGAACATTTCCTGGGGGTTATTTTTCCAGGGGGGTAATTAACCTAGAACCGACTCAGAGGCCTAAATCCATACATCCTGTTAACCCTTTAGGCCTATATGAACTTGTCATTTTATTTCTATTCAAGTACTGCTGACATTTAGAATGGATATGACTAGAACAAAGAAGCATGTGAAAGATGTATGTTGTACTGTGCATATTGCATGTATTGTATACATTATAATAGGGTTTATTGTGAATATCTGTAAGTATGGATACTTTCAATCCTTATTGCTCCTAAACAAAAAATATTATATCTCTGAAACTTTTATATGTTTAAGTGAACATGTCAGAGATTACATTTCATGAAAAATGTTGTCAAGGTCACGTGATCCACAAGGTCAATTTCAAGGTCAAATCTTAGGTCAAGAGATCAAAGTACCCCAACATGTACAAATTTTGAAAATGGCGGCAGATTTGGAATCCTTATTGAATACCCTTTCCAGCACTACAAATTTTGTGAAGATTGACCCATTAGATCCTGAGATACAAGGGTTCAAAGGGAGGCCCGCCACCCCCATTTTTGAAAAAATCTCAAAATTTGGTTGGCCGTATCTCCCAAATCCCTGACCCAATTGACCTAAAATTTTGGATTTGGTGCTGTGAGATCACACTCAACAAGTACACTAAGTTTCATCAAAATCAAAATGGTCGGGTTAAGATTTTCAGATTTTTTGGGTGATTTGACATGGAATGACCCCTGTATGAATAAATAATAAATAAAATTTATGATTACAATCCTAATTTTCCTTCCAACAATAAGACTGCAGAATATCATAACTAGAAAAAAGAAAAAAATATATTTTATGCCAATATTTTAATATTGGCATAGAGGTCTAAAACATACCAGTAAAGTTTCTTCTAGAAGAAAAAAAAAAAGAATGTTGCCAATATTTTTATATACAACAAATGGGTTGAATAAAACATGAAAGAGGCAAAATTCAAATTTAAAATGAAAAATGACTCATTTTGTCACCATATTTTCGAGAAAGTTTTTAAATATGATATTTCACAACATTTTGGCGTTTTTATATCTTTTGAGACATTGTCTTACTGAGGAACTGCAAGAGAGAAGACAGGTGAATATATTCATGCAAAATACTTACTTGAGATCACCGTCTTTTGAGCTGAGGAAGATCCAGGTTTCATCTGGTCTCTGTTCTTCCTTAGAAACCCTCTCGATGGCTCTCCCAACCAAACCACTCCCGCCCGTCACCATGATCACCTTGTCCGTCCGGGATTTCTTCTCCGACGCCATGTCTTCGTTCTCTGGTCTACCGTAAGTAAAACTAGGACAAAAGGAACATGAAAGACTACATTTTAGACCAAAATAACTCCAGAATTGTAGTATTTGAACATCATAGTTTCTATGGCGACATGATTAATTTCAGTCTTTGGTCTTAAAAATTTGTTGTTGGTCAATGATTTCTTCTCCAACGCCATGTCTTCGGTCTCTGGTCTAACGTAGATCTAAGTAAAACTATGACAAATGGAAGCATGGCGTAATATATTTTAGACCAAAACAACACCACTGTGAGCTGAGCCTACCATATTTGCATATTAAACAGTCAAAGTAAACAGATTTAAATGACTTTTACTGAGCTTGATCTAGATCTAGAAATCTAGGTCTTACTACTACTGTCTACTGCACTAGTAAGACCTATCAAGTTAGATCTAGGCTAGGTCTACATGTCAGATGTAGATCTAGAATAGATCTGAGATCTAGATTAGTCTGGTGCTTAGCCTTAGATCTAGTCTAGCCATTAATTTTATACAGATCTATTTAGAGACTACAGATCCATACAGTTAGATCGAGGGTAGTCCATGAATAGATTTCTTGGTGTTGGAGAACAATGCTGCCTGGGTCTGAAAAGAATCGACAGGCATCACCTACGTTGGCCGTTGGTGAATAATAGGTCAGCACCTCTCTACGTACGCGAACGCTCAGCGGAGACCCACTGGGGCGCGACGGGCTTGCCTGGCAGAATGGATCCACTGGCATTCGCCAGTGATAAAATATTCCCAAACTCCAAGAAAAATACATGATCTAGAACACTGTCATTGAAATTTGGTACCAATATATGAACCCCTTGCTCGCACCCTTTTCTCATATCATCTTCAACAATTTTTACGTACACAAAACAGATAATATTGATAAAACGTTCATTCAACTCACCTAAATAAAAAGACTACGTTAGATACCGGGCCGAGTAGAATCGCTGCTTGTAATATTATTGGGACCGTACGTTACTACAACGCACGCGCACGCGCGGGTGTGTACACGTGTATTTTGTTTTGTAACGGACACGATATATCAGATTCTACACAGCGGAACATTCAAAATGAAATCTCGAGCAATGCGAAATCACATTGCTATAATAAAAAAAAAAAATTAAAAATGGGCGTTACCAGGGGCGTCGACTGAGTAGAAGAGATGAACAAGCGGAGTGCCAAAGTCAAATCCCGGAGTCCTATATCATGCTTATTTTTTTGAGTTGCCTGCCACTACCACACAAACTAAGCACACCTTGTTCTTTCGAAAGAATTTTATCATAATACACAATATTTCAGAGGTGTTTTTTTTTTAATTATTTGTAGCGAACATCCCTAAATCGGAGGGGGCGTTTGAAAAAAAGAGGCCCTTTTGACGAAAAATAGTATTTTGTGAGAAAAAAATAAAAGAATACCTTGAATAACCATATAATTTGATACCATATGGAAGACAATTAAATTATCTACATTTAATAATAATAATAATAATAACCTAGACTTATATAGATCTATACCAATTTCAATGGAATTTGGATTAATTAACATCGAAGAAATCTAAGTACAACACATGATTTGTTGTGATTTTTTTCGAAATATTGAATTAAATAAAAAAAAAACGTTATATTCCATATACCAAAATTGGAGAGGTGCATTTTTTTTTAACTTTCCGGGAATTTGCTAACTGTACAATGACAATGTCCTGTGCAAAGAAGAGGCTTATATCTATTCAGTGAAAAGATATAGCAACCCAAAGATATTGATTTGATCATCAACTAAATGGCAGCATTTTTGCCCACATGTGTATTAATTGCATTCATGTACGCAGGATTTTTGACAAGTGGGAAATTGTGCCGACCGATATTTTGCTCAGTGGGGGGGGGGGGGATAGGTAGTGAGCAACAATTTGTTTTGTTATGTTTGCCCCCCCCCCCCCCCCCAACAAAATAAAACGAAAAAAAAAATGAAAGATGAAAATCGCGCCGACCGATAATTCGCTCAGTGGGGGGGGGGTATTCATTTTTTTTTAATGAAGGGGGGGTAGTTAACCCCCCCCCCCCCCCCCCCCCCCCCCCCGCGTACGCGCCTGCATGTAGCCTACGTGTATTAGAGTATTTTGAGGACGTGTAATTTGGTGTGTTCGCATCATCATCATCAGATAGCGCTGTAAATTAGCGCTGCTGTGGTCTTCACGAGGCACGCCATGCAACTCTTTCACCTGCCATTTGTGTTGCACATTTCATTCCTTGTCCAGACACTTTCTTGATATCATCAGTCCAAGTGTGTTCACATCGAGTTTTAAAGATGTCTTTTAAATAAAACCTGTAATCACCATGGATTTGGTCTCAAAAGATCGATAATTAAAGTACCTTCAAGTTGATATCAATTTCATTGAGTTATGTAGTGTGTTAATTTTCATTTCATGAAGCCTGCGGCACTTTTGAGGAAGAAGAAGAAGAAATATAAATTTGAGCCGAAAAGGTATTTTGGGGAGGTATCTTTTCCCTCTAATTTTGGCCAGTATTTCGGTATATTAACTTCACACTAGTGATTGGACATTTTGTAGTGCAGAAAGTTCAAAGGATTTGGAGTGATGAATGCAATTGATAAGTACTTCTTCACAGAGTCTGTGATGTTTCATGTGAGCTTTGGCAGTCCCCCCCCCCCCCCTCAGACTCCCGACAAAGGCTCTCCCCCTGCACCCCTTCCGTAAACATAGAAGTGGTTCCCAATTAGACAACCTTTTGTTGTATAAAATTGGAGAGAGAGAGTGTGAGTTGTATATAGTTAAAGCTTCTAAAAAACACTCCCGTTGACCCTTTAATTATTATTTACACAATTTCTTGCTGTCTGCTGCCTCGAGATCACTGGAGTGAAGAAAGATAACAATGTATAGCATGAATCCCTATTAAGTGAAGGATTTATCCTTTTCATGCGGATGGTTCTTCTACCATTCTTGACCATAGGCAGTATAGCTTGAATCCCTATTAAGTGAAGGATTTATCCTTTTCATGCGGATGGTTCTTCTACCATTCTTGACCATAGGCAGTATAGCTTGAATCCCTATTAAGTGAATGATTTATCCTTTTCATGCGGATGGTTCTTCTACCATTCTTGACCATAGGTGCGTTTCGAGCTCAATAAGGGGGGCATCATCCCATTGTATGTTGTGCCGATGTTGTGTCCAGTATTAAGGGCGTTTTCTACTACTGCATGAGATGGACTGCCTAATGAGAGGCCCAGGCCCCCCACTCAGTGTTATTTAGAGTACGCATATGCTCGTACCCTCTTTTTGAAAGCACCCCCTATCTGAGGACTGCCATCATTTCCGAACCCCCCTTTCGCGGGCTTTTCGCGGGCTTTTCCTGCCTTGGAGACCCCCCTAAATCAGGAAAAATACTCAATGTACCCCCCTAAATTCGGAATAATTTCTCAGGAGTCCAAAGAGATGAGAGAAAAAAAGGAAAATACCCCCTTTTTAAAGAAATCTCGGGTGAAAAGTCAAATACACCCCTTTTTTTACAATTCTCGGGCCGGACTTTGTCGCACGAAAAGTACCCCTTTACCGGACATTTTGGCAACACGCATGCGGTCATTCCGACCTCTGAGTGGGGGGGGGGGGCCGGGATGAGAGGGCTCTTAGAGAGCACACAATAGGGGCAGTGCAATTTAATCATTATCATCACCACCACCACACCATCATCATCATCACCACCTCATCATCATCATCACCATGACCACCACTTCGTCATTACCACCACCACCTCATCATCATCATCACCATGACCACCACTTCGTCATCATCCTCACGACCACTTTATCATCACCATCACATCATCATCATCCTCACGACCACCACTCCATCATCATCATCACCACCACTTTATCATCATTATAATGACCACCACGTCATCATCATCATCATGACCACCACCCCATCATCATCACCACCACTACTTTATCATGATTATAATGACCACCACGTCATCATCATCATCATCATCATGACCACCACCCCATCATCATCATCACATCAACATACATAATCATTATCATCATCATCATCATCCCACCATCATCATCATCATCAACCTCATCATCATAATCACCATCCTCATTATCATCATCATCATGACCACCACTTCGTCACCATTCTGATGACCATCACATCATCATCATCATAATCACCGTCATTATACATAATCATTATCATCATCACCATCACCATCATCATAATCACCATCATCATCATCACCATCGTCATCACCATCATCAATATCATCATCACCGTTATTCACAGTATTGTGTGTTTCCTGAATTTGAATTCGAGAATAATGGATGTCTTACAAACAATCATGATAGTTTAGTTATTCTGGTATATTTCATTATAAAAATGTGCAGAACGATATGACGTCACATAATCTGATGATGATAAAAAAATTACACACGATACTATAGTACATAATTGATATTTATAGTAAATAAAAAATCTCGCATTTCGATGTTTGCCATTTTCCCCCACGATACAAAACAAACAAAATATCTTTCTTGTTGATGCTCTGACAGACCACTTTCAAATTTAGAAAGCAAACTGTGTGATAAAAGTACCGAAGACTTAAACTGGCATTATGCAAGAACCAAGAAGAAAATGTAATTGTAAAAATTCGCCGAGTCGCTCACGCGTGTCTCTGCGATTAACACAACCAACGGCTAAACATGTTAGTTTAAGTCTCAGTTCTCACTTATTTTAATTGACTTATATTTCTTTATCAATAGCAATAGATAAATAATCTGCACTGCATTTTTTGTAAATATATAAATTGCACACAAAGTTCGCGAGGGCAAGCAACGCGAATGTACCCTGTGCTACCGTTTAACTAATAAGGCATACATAGCTTATAAACATACTGATATAATTATCAGTATGTTTATCATTTTACACACACAATTTATAAACACAAATACAAGTGTAATAATATAATGACAGCTTCTTATTATGTAGATTACGTATGTTTCTATCCCATGGAATGCTGAAGGCGCCTACAAAGTACTAACATTATTAACCTGGCTCTAGCCCAGCTGCCCTAAGACGCTCAAAGCATCCAAGGAATAAATTACCTGGTTCTCCTTTACTACACCAGGGGGACCGGGGGGGGGGGTCGTTTCACAAAGATCCTAAGTTGAACTAAAGATCCTAAGTTAAACTTATCTCTAAAATCGACTTAAAAATTATGGAAAGCCGTTAGCATCTATGAAAATATTATTTTAAATTATTTTAAAAGGCATAAAATGTTGATTGAAATCATTCATATTTCTATTACCAAGGATGTTTCATGTTCTTGATGTGGATTTTTTTTTTTTTAAAGTCTAAAATACTTCAATTTTCGCTTTTGAATGTGTTGTATTTTAAGGCTGCAAATGGCTCTCAATACTATTTAAGTCCAACTTAGAGTAAGGTTTGACTTGGGATCTTTGTGAAACACCCCCTGGGTGGAGAAAGGCAAAAGAAGGTTAATGTCTTGCCAAAGGACACACATGTCGCGGTTGGACTTGAACCGCAACCCATGAGATCAAAGTCCAGTGACCTATCCAAGAGACCACAACGCATCTACGTAGAGATTGATATAATGATGATATCAAAATTGCCATACCCCATCAACGTCAACTCCAAAAATAAAGATGAGTTCTTGAATGAATATAACAGTCTCTGTCTGGGAGTAAATGTGTTGTGTGGTTCATAGCAATAAGGCCTAACAAAACAAAATGTTATGTTGCCCTTTAGGTGCCAGCACCTGGGTCGGTTTGTCGATTTTCTTCGTTTTTTGTGTGCTTTTTGCCCCTCTTTGGGCTGATTCAATTTTGAATGCTTTAATACATATTTGTTTATTCATTAAACATTTCTTTTCTCAAAAAACGGTCAAATAGTTATGATTAAAAGCCGACCTTAGATTTTAAAAATGTTGGGTCGGTCGCAAAGGGCAACTGAACACAACAACTTTTTTTGAAAGCCTCATTGGTGTAAACTGTGGGGTTTCGGGGATGTGAAATTGTCATCTATATATCAATGTAATATATACAATTATATAAAGCTCATAACAATACGGCTCACAGAAATGGGTAGGCCTACCAATGGGACCACATACGCATGAGGCATGATGTTTGGTCCAAATACTCCAGCTAGTCCTTTCCATATAATTATTTAGGAGGGCATTTGAAGAGAAATCCCGACGCAATTGACTTTCTACTATGACATTCTTCTGAACCGGCACAAACAAAGTATAGGAAAGCTCCCAAATTATTTTACACCTTTACCAGGAGGGTGTTTCATAAAGATCCTAAGTTGGACTTAACAATTATGGAAAGCCGTTATCATCTTTGAAAATAATTTGTAACAGCTATTTTAAAATGCATAAAATGTTGAATCAAATCATTCATATTTTCTATTATCATGGGAGTTTTCATGTTCTTGATGTGGAATTTATGAAAAGTCATAACAAATTCTTTTGAATATATTTCATTACAAGACTACACATGGCTCTCCATAATTGTTAAGTCCAACTTAGAGTTAAGTTCGACTTAGAATCTTTGTGAAACACCCCCTGATCTCTCTATCTTGAACATTGCAATATTATTGATATCAAGCTCAGCTCTGTACATAAAATATAGGCGATTTTAAGTTAACAATGACATAACATTATTATATTAGCAGTCTCTCCTTTATTCACCAGAAGGCATTTTTCTGACATCACGTGAGTCGATAAAGGCCCATGAAAGATACAGACGTGACCTTCGATATTGGATTATTCGAAACTGTTTACACGGCTGACCCAGATTTCATGATAACATTACGATTAATAGGCGTACTTTCCCTTATTCCTTTATCTTTCATACTCGACTGGCCTGGATCACTCTTGTTGACCCGATCCTGCATTAAATTTTTACCTAAAGATGTCTTCTTTTGACAAGGAGTGATCCGATGAAGGACGAAGAACCTTCTTCGGGATTCTTCGGAAAGACACAGTGGGCATCGCTTTTGGATCAATCGCTACTCTTTAAACCACTGACCCGGATGTATTTACTAGTTAAGATAATTTTGTTTCCCTATTTTCTTCTTCTTTCGTTTAGCTATCACACTAAATTGAATCCCTCGTGTTAAACTGATGAGGAACCGGTGGGTAGTTTCTTCGGAAAATCCGCGTGGCCAACGATTTCGGATTAACGATTGGCCTAGTAACACTACGATAATTATTTCTAGTAGACTTAATTCTTTCGTTTAGCTATTGCATTCGGTCGGATCACTCGTGTTGGGCCGATCTTGCGTTTCACCCGAAGACGTCTTTCGTTTACAACACGTAACCCGATGAAGGCCGAGGAACCGAAGGAAGTTTCTCCGGAAAGACATGGTAACCAAGGCATAAAGGAACGGGTTGATGGTCGAGTTACACCAAAGCAGATTTGTCATGACTTCCTCGACATTGAAATGGACCGACCCGTCGCCCATGATGGTTATGAGGATGGTTGTGATCTGGTAAGGTAGCCAACATATGGCGAAAGCGATGACGAGCGTGAAGAGCACGATGGCGGCGCGTCGTTGTCGTTTGAACTCACGATTGTTCTTCTTGGCTTGTTCCTTTTTAGCTCGTGACAGAGTCGTGAGCCCGTCAGAGCTCGCAGAGTTCAGCGACGCACCTGATAGCGGGCGTGTCTTTTCCTGGACTTTTAATCTACCAACAGTCGAACCATCGATGCTATGATTAGCGTTATTATTCGCGTTCTCGCTATTTAGCTCCCCTTCCATCCGGCTCTCAGTCTTGATATCAACGTCGTTTAAATCTACACTCGGGTTTGAAAAACCGTTCGAATATGAAGCGATGTTAGCTCCTTCCGTCACGATGCCGTCATCAGAAGCCTTTGACTCCTCGAAGGAATCATCTACCTCGTATGCCTTCGAGGGCTTTTCGTCTGTTGACTCGGTATCGCCATTTGGTGTCACGACGTCATCTTTGGTCATGTATGATATCGTCACGATAGGAACGGGTTTTTTGGTGTACAGAGGATTGGAGGAAAAGGCTAACCCGCTTGCCGAATCGGTCCCGATCGATTTGCCAGCATCCGTCGACGGTATCGGCGTCGTGTTGGACCCCTTATCAGTTTTCGACCTAACAAGTCCTCCTGTTCTCATTCGAATATTCATAAACACCACCACATTCAAATAAATAATGATACAGAATGGTATCGCAAACTCCACAACGATCATAACCGCCGAAAACGGCACGTTATATAAATACTCCATCTCGCAATCGTCGGAGAAATCGACGTAGTTCGTTTGCGTCATCGCGCCGTAACCGAAGGCAGTGATGGTGTAGAAGGAGATGACGACGCTCCAGCAGATGGCGAGGGTGATCAGGATGCGTTTCTTGGTCTGGTATTTTCGGTAACCCAACTTCTTCTTCACCATCCAGTATCTATCGAGGCTGATGAGGGTAATGGTGATCACCGACATGAAAGAACAGGTGTAGTCAAGCACAGTCCAGAGCTTACACGGTATCTCGCCAAGTGGCCATTCGTCAAAGAGGATGAACACGAAATTGAAGATGAGCGTGATCCCAACGAAGAAATCGGAGATGGAGAGATTGAGGATGAGGAGGTTTGAAGGCCGAGCGCGGATTCGTTCATCCACCTTGTAAGCGGCCATGACGAAAGCGTTGCCGATCAGGGTGATGACGATGATGAGACAGTAAACGATTCCGACGGCGATGTTCCACGCGAGGGAATGAGGGAATAATCCGTCATCGTCTTCGTAGTCGTCGACCACGGATGAATTCGACGACGTCATATCGAAGAACGGTAGAACTTCGGTCGCTTCCATTCTTCTGCTCAATAATTGGACGCACTATGAATTAGGTCTGAGTTATATTCGTGTAACAAAATGATGCACAGGTCTGACTGGTTATGCAACCACCCCGTAACGACCAGTAGTTCCTACTCACTCGGTATGAGCTACATTTATCAGTGACGACTTTGACTCTCATATAGCACTTTCATATCGCACAAACTGAAATATCTTCGCTCAGAACTTGAAAGAGAAGGCACCAATTCTACTTCTTCACAAGGAAAGTAAGTTGCTGAATCTTTGACTCCTCGCAAAAACACGAGCTGATGTGTGAAGGAAGTCGATAACCAATTGCTGTCTGAGCTACAGGGCGTTATGCGACAGTGCGTTCGAGCTATTATACCAGCAAGAAAGTCATCTGTCCCACTTAGGACAGGGTTATGTTTCACGTAAGAGTCATCACAACAAGGTTTACACACAAAATAATGTTCTTCACGAAACACGCCGTTGGTCAATATTCAACATTATGAGGCAAATCTACATAAATCTGTAACACACTGTCATCAGTTCATTGGCAGAATAATTATTGTCAGATCTTCAATTTGCGCAGTCTCGTTGATAGTGTCAATGTTAATTGATCAGGAAAGTACACGAGTGACACTGTTATAATATGATAGCTCGAGGTTGGCTATCAGAAAGCAGACCATATAAAAACGAAATGTCTGTCTGGTTTGCGGTGTAAACATTGTCTCCAATTTCAAGAAATAGTTAATGTAGTCAGAAGAAGTAATTATCATGAAGAAAGTGATACCATTTGTCTTGAACATTAATGTTGCCACTTCTGTCTAGAACAGTATCTGGTGCAAAAGTCCTCTCAAATTTCATGAAGTAGTAGACTTCGCTTCCTTATTATGTTCTCATGACAGACCGGCACCGCAGAATGACAGCTGCTTACTCTACGCTAATATTCACCCGCTAATAGTGATACAATCCAATCTCTAATATTCTTTAGATTCCCCCCAGATCCGTAGCAATCATCAACATTCTCCAATGAAGGCGATGCGGAGTTTGGATGACTTCTCAGTCGTCATGGTAACAGCCGTGGTCAGCCACGCCTCCCGGAAAGCCGCATCCTCAATGCATGGCCTCCGGTTGGTGTCGAATCACTTCGGATTGAAGATGGTGCACATCAATAAGCTCGATGCTTCTTCCTCGTTAAGCTGGTCTATCGTCTCTTGATGATGGAGATGCCTGTGAATGAAAAAAGAAAATAACATTAAAGACGACATAACATAAATTTCATGGAATGTTTAAAAAATCAACCTGAATTGAAAGGATTATTATTTTAGTAATATCAAAAGGGCTATGTAGCCTGTTCCAGAGGCGTCATTTTTCCCGAGAGATTTACAGACCTTGACTGATATGTTTTCCGTCATTAACGGCTTCGAAAGAGATCACAATTTTTTTGTTTTAATCAGACTTTTTATTGCTTTGCCTCACTATTTATAAAGGCAAACAAAAAAATTGAATAAATACTAACATTCGAACCAATAATTCCAACGTTGTTTTACGCTCTCCTTACCGATTGAGCTAACGATGATCGATGACAAGTAGCTTTGCATGTTTATTATAACCCTATCACTAACCCTAAGAGTTATCATGTGCGCATGCGCAGGTTTAGCAAGCTAGCTAGACTCTTTTTAATTGGCTGCATGCAAATGAGTTAATATATACTGGGGTCTAGAACTCTTATGGGAAAAATAATTTGGCGTCCCGGTGATGAATTAAAAATTACAATCGGTGTGATGAAGACAACTAAGGATTAAATCATGTTCAAATTGAAACTGTAAAACTTAGACAGGTCAGGATGTTGTTAAATTGAAGTAAGTACGAATTTCCATGGAAGAAATACCTATAGCAACGAAATAAAAGCAAAGCTAGACCATGAAAATAGAGAGCCGTCAGCACCGTGTGTTGTATCATCATGAGCGCCGCAAAATAAAATACTTCAGCTTAATAACTAAATCTGTCCAATACACGTATAAAAACCCTAAAGCACACGCGTGACGTCACCCGGCGCCTTGCCCTCCTCTCCCATCCCTCAACCACTCAGAATCCTGGGGCCCGTTTCACAAAGCATTTAAAATAAGTGACAACTCTGCTGATAACCAATCAGAGGCAAGGATTTCAGTAGCTTATAATAAAAACTGTCATTTGTCACTGATGACAAGTTTTGTGAAACGCCCCCCTGTACCCACCACTGCCTTATACAATGCCCATTCAGAGACCCAGTTCCTTGATGAAAGTCGGACCTTTTTATTCTTCTTTCACTCGAGGATTTGAACCCACCTAATTATAAGCAAGCGGAAGGTTAACTTCATGCACCATTGCAGATAACAATTATAATAATTGAGCAGAAAAGTGCAGTCATTTTACTAAACGATGCACTTATGGGCCTCGGCATTTCGAGAATATAACGTAACAGGGCCAAGGCTCTCAAACTCACCGTCGAGCATAGATACGATGATGAAAGTAGACTATAGTGAGGTCGAACAACAAAATATTTTTTAATGAATATACACGTATAACTATAAATTACGGCACAATATAAACTCGCAAATGGTTTTATAAGAATGAACGTGACAAAATTGTTGTTTCGCATCGTTATCAAAATAGTTAATGTTAAGACGACTGATAGCTAGGGAAAGTAGTTAAAGTAGTATGAGTAGTAGCAGTAGAAGTAGTATTAGTAACAGTTGTAGAAGTGTAGTAGTAGTAGTAGTAGTAGTAGTAGAAGTAGTAACAGTTGTAGTAGTAGTACCTGTAGTAGTATTAGTGATAGTAGAAGTATTAGTATCAGTAGTAGTAGTAATGATAGTAGTAGTAGTAGTAGTAGTAGTAGTAGTAGTAGTAGTAGTAGTAGTAGTAGCAGTATGACTAGTAGTACTATAGGTAGTAGTAATGGTAGTAGTATTAGTACTAGTATAGTAGAAGTAGTAGTAGTAGTAGTAGTAGTAGTATTGATAGTAAAAGTAGTAGTAGTAGTTGTAGTAGTAGTAGTAGTAATAGTAGTTGTAGTAGTAGTAGTAGTAGTAGTAGTAGCAGCAGTAGTAGTAGTAGTAGTAGTAGTAATAGTAGCAACAGTAGCAATAGTACTATTTGCTGAGGGGCGCAGCCCCGAAGCAAATGGTACTTTTGGGGTCACCGAGGCCCATAGTTTAACCAGTACCTCGAATAGAAGGCATGGTATATTTTGTTTTATATAATTTTATTTTATTATTAAATTTTTTTTTTTTTTAAACTATAAAAAAAAAAAAACATTTTTGGAAAAAAAAATTTAGAACAAAAAAAATGTCAATTTTTATCTAAAAAGAATTAAAATATTTTGTTTTTATTAAATTAAAATTTGAAAAAAAAAATTGATTCAATTCAACAACAAAAATTCCCATTTTTTTTTTCAACTCCCAAATAGTAAACCAAAATAGTACTCTCATATAGTACTTTCTAAAAATAGGTCAAATATTTGAGGTCATGTGACGAGCTCTCAACCAATCAAAAGCCAACAAATTGTTGATGCAGGATATAATAGTAGATGGTGGTAGTAGTAAGTAACAGAAGCAGGTGCTGTGTTTTCCGATAGGCCGCCTTTAAATATTAGTGATATACGATGAGAGTGCTGATAGCAATCGGTGACATGTGATTTAAGTGGCACCACAAGGATGAAAGAAGACGCGAGGACAAAAAAAAATCTGCCAGCACTTTAATGTTACAATATTAACCTATATAGCAATGACCTTGTTATGTCATATTTCTTGAGCATCGATTTCATCATTAATGAATTTGCAATTACAATCTGGCACACTCACACTAAATCAAATGATCGAAAATCACGAGTTAATGAGAGTGAACTGACATTATGCAATTACATAAAATTAAAGACGGGTAGTGGTAAAATTGCGGTTCGCAGGGCCCCTAGTTTGGTCGAGCTGTTTTTATATCTGAAAGGGCTACCCTGTCAACAACAAAAAACGGCTAATAAAAATGAATAAGGGTTTTGGGTGCAACATATCCATTTACTGAAAGGGCTACCCTGTCAAAATAAACCGACAGATAAAATAAATAAAGGGTTTTGGGTGCAACATATTCATTCAATTTTGTTTAATAACTGAAAGGGCTACCCGGTCAAAATAAAACGACAAATAAAATAAATAAAGGGTTTTGGGTGCAAAATATCCATTCAATATTGTTTAATAACTGAAAGGGCTACCCTGTCAAAATAAAACGACAAATAAAAATGAATAAAGGGTTTTGGGTGCAACATATCCATTCAATATTGTTTAAATATTTTCTTCAGAGGTTTAAATGGCAATACTTCAACCTAAATTTGCAAAAAAGCAGAAATATATGCCCAAATGTTCAATGTTGAAGTGCATTCACGATATCTATCCAAGCCGGATCAATATGATAATTTACAAAATCATTAGTTGGCGGTTTCCCGGCAAAATTGTTATCATCAAGTATTAGTCAACACACGTTCTTTCACATGATTGGTAATAAGAGCTTCCATTTCATTTCTTGAGAGGAGGGCGTTTCCAAAACTGCTCTATACCTCTAATATAATACATACATTCCTCTATTAAATGAGACAGGGGCCCGTTTCACAAAACTTGTGACCTATAACGACTGCTAAATTTCAATGACAAATTTGCTCTCAGCCAATCAGATGCCTTGATTTAATTAGCTTATAACAGTAGCTTTTAACTTGTGATTGATATCAAGTTTTGTGAAACAGGGCCCCGTAGTACGTTAACTCATTACTTATTAAAGACAATATGTCCCTTTTGCAGCCAACCTCAAATTCTGTAGAACTTTGCAGGAATTATGAATATGTCATGTATGTCATATCTGTAAATGTAAACGTTAGCAATGTCCTAATATTCAAATTATGCAAGGAAACCCATTTACTTGCTAGACTTCACTGTCAGACACTATTGAGTGATTGACTGGCTTTTTTTTTCTTCTTTGGTAATAACATACATAAGATGAGCTGTAAAGGATTTGTCTACATCAATAACCCACTTCTTTTAATGGCCAAAATTAAACCGATTGAATCTTTGCGCAGCATAAAACGTACGACCATGCGGTACAATGGTCTGAAAATCAAGACGATTACTTATTGGCTCTACAGTGTGAGTCAAAAAAAAGTTTACACCTAGAAAATTGCTAATTATTTAAAAAAAATCATCGATGAACATTAAATTGTTATATGTCTAATGAAAGAGTGTTTTTTCCCAAATCATTTTGGTACCATTTTTGTGTGGTATGTGTTCACGCTTGGATGAACAGGGGACATTGTTTGCGAGAGTGTTTGAATAAAACAATTGGGATTTGGGTATTAATTCGGTCTTTGCAGATCCAACTAACATCCCTAACAAAATTAATCCTGCCATGCCACACATATCAAATATCGAATATCAAATATCAACGAACATTTGTGCGTGCGTGTGTGGGTTTGTGTGACTTAATTTACCCTTTGCAAAAAAACATACGCAATGCATTTCATTTGATACATTCAATCCATTCTCTCACTCCGCTAATCCCAACATAATACACACTGTAGACATCACTTTGGCGCAAGTCGATTTTTGCACCGTCTCGCAAACAATGCCCCCTGTTCATCCAAGCGTGAACATATACCACACAAAAATGGTACCAAATGATTTGGGATAAAACACTCTTTCATAAGATGTAAAATAATTTACTGTTCAACGATGATTTTAAAAGTGATTAGAAATTTTCTAGGTGTAAACTTTTTTTTGACTGACTCGGTATAGCTCCTGAGTCCATTCGACATTACTAATAGTCGTTATTTTCCCACTTAAAGACATTTTCAAGCCCCCCCCCCCTTTTTTTTTAAGGGAGTTCTAAATTAGTATTATCTTTTAAATGCCATTGTAATTTAACCTTTTCATTTTTTGGCCTGCAAATGGGACATAGTACCTTTAAGGGTCGCTTCAACAGTACCAATAGGGACTTTTAGATTTGCATAGACTGATACGTGTGACGTCCATTCGAGGCAGTGCATTAAAAGGTCGTCGATCGTAGCAATCCACGTTGTCGTTGTGCAAATCTAAAAGTCCCTAATACTGCTCTTCCTAAGGGCCCGCACCCCTGGCATAATACCAGGTATCCATTTCATACATAAGGGTCAATAGGGTTAATGTGGGCCAAGCACCTTGTCTAAGTACATTGTGTAAGCATAGAGCAAGGATCGAAGCAGGGATGCTGGTCAAGAGTCTTTAACAATACACATAAGCGTGGCGTGAGTCCACTAATTGAGGGGGCACTAAATGATGGGGGCGTATCGGTTTTACTCGGAAAATGAAATTCGAATTTACAAGGTTACAGACAGATGGAGGGGAGGTTAAGGGGGCTGATCCAAGCGTCTTCTTTTCTCGTCTTTTTCCTCCTTCTCACTTCTCCCTTTCTCGTTCTTTCTTTTTATTGTATTTGTTTTACCATATTCGATAGGGCGGGGTGTCTCCATGCCTCCCTTTAGCTTCGCCACAATAGAACACTACAGTACTCCAACATTAACCTGCTCAAAAACTATAATCATGATAATTTGGGCCTTAATATTTAAACAAATCAATACAACGTGTGAACAATGCCTGAATAAATTGCTATCTCCTTTTACTTGCGTGTGTTGATACCAGGAAGTTGAGAGTTTCCTGCAAAATTAAGGCAAAATGATACAAATCCAATACCTGCAAAAATCATTATAAATCCCAGGCATATGTCTAAAGTGCAGATATACCTAGATATATACTGGTATGTCATGTCAGTTTAGTGAAATATTATACATCTAAATTGATGGAAAAGTTAGTTACATTTCTTGTACATAGATACATACTGAGCCACAGCATTCAAAAACTAAGCGTCATTAAAATGTATTTGGTATTATTAAGATCGTTCACGTATTAATACGTAAGAGTTTGTATGAGGAAGTATATTCAGAACGTTATAATATCCATGTTATACGTTTCAGAATCGATTTTTTTTTTATTTTTTTATTTTTTTTTAAATATAATATTATTATTTTTTTTTTTTAATAACTTATTTCCTTTTTACAATAAAATGAAACCCCAAATACGTGTTTATTTGTTCAATAGATCTTAACTGATTGTTATTCTTTGTGCTAAGCTCACCATTGAACATTTGTATTTATACTTTTATTGTGAAAAAAGGGTTCAAACGTCACTTTTAATATTTTTCATTGTTGGAGTATTAGTTTTCCAGACTACAGTTTGTACATGCATCTCACTACCAATTTTTAGAAAATATATTCTTATAAACTACCATCTTTTTGCGAAAAAATACTTAAATCAATTCAAGTAGAAATTCATTTTCCACCGGAGCATGAAGCAACACCACAGCATTTCATTTTATTATGTCCCTTAGGATAAGTGTTCATATTAACAATTACAATCTTAATTCACAATAATTTCACAAGTACAACATATAATTGACAATCATAAGTACTTAATTAAATACATGTGAATTGTATTTTTTTCTCACAATATACACATACTTCATGTATGTCTGAATTTTGTTCAAACTCGTTGGAATTCAAGGACAAAAAACTATTCAATTATAACTTAAAAGAATACAGTAGGCAAAAAATGTGTTTTATGTGTTCGATAGCGTGTAAAATGCTCAAATTATAAGAAATGCTTGCAAAACATTTACGAATAGGTTTTTCATTACTTTTGACTGAATTAATGCGTATACAATGGCGGTAATTGGAGTAATATGCCCTATGTACCGAACATGTTCCGGTGACCGTGGTAGAAATTATTCTTTTAAAGTACAACTATAAAGTATTTAAAGGTATTCAATGCATGACCCCAAAAAAGAAGAAAATGTGACATGCTTTTCGATAAAACTATATAAGAATCACGAGCAAGAGTAATATATACACTAGTCAGTAATTGTGTTCTTTACGACACACGTATCTAAGACTTGTGAACATCATTTGACATCAAAAGTTTCATGCTTCTGTATATTTTTTCTCATTTAAGCTGTAACAGGGAAATGATACAATCGTTATCAGATAGATCTTAATCATCTTAATAATATGAATAAGATAGATAAGATCGGGAGACTAGACTATAGACAAGACGGGAAAAAAGAGAAATTATGAGAAATAATAAAAGACGAAAGCACATCAACAATAGGCAAAGCACACAACGGACACAAAACAACAGGGGGGGGGGGAATAAAAGGCTGACAATCTGAAAACGGGAGTTTCGTCAATCAATAAAGAAAATTAAATGCACAGTAAAAATTGCCGTTGTTATTGATAAATTATTTTCGTTGGAGAAATCATCGATTTTATGACAGTCGAGAATGATTTCGTATCAGCAAATTTCTTTTGTGTGTTTGTTTTCAAAGACTTATTTGTTCTATCAAGGTATATGATGATGTGTGCTAAAAGTGATTCCAAGATTGTGTACTATCTAAATACACAGGTGGAGTGGATATCCACTCTTTTCCGAGTTGGTAAAGCCTTCTCGACAAAATAAAAGGCGAATCGGCTTCAAGTCGTAGACAATCGCACTACTGGTATGACGTCACTACGAATGTGAGCCGATTGAGCTTTTCCTCCTCCGAAAAAAAAATAGATTCCATTATTCATGACTATTCTAATCCTCGGTCTTTCAGATTTTACAAGTCCAAATTTTCATATGAAATGCTATTGCAAATGCTTCCAAAATCGGATCGTAGCCAGATGGTACGGTGGGCTCTATACAAACCACTCCATTGCCATTGAAGTGGATTCCACTCTAATTTTGGAAAGATTCACTCCCAAAACGACCTCTTATGACTCCTTAAAGAGTGGATTTTCACTCTAGACATTTCATTTCCTCCAAACTTTACCTCAAGAGATAACATGTTATGTTTTACGATTTTAAAATCATAAGCCTGATTCTTAACCATAACAAAACACACACATTTGTCAATTTTGGGAAGATTCACTCCCAAAACGACCTCTTATGACTCCTAAAAGAGTGTATTCCCACTTTAGACATTTCATTTCCTCCAAACTTTACCTCAAGGGATAACATTTTATGTTTTACGATTTTAAAATCATAAGCCATTCTTAACCATAACAAAACACACATTATTTTGTCAACATTCACAAAACGTGGAATTGCACTTTAAACACTTCGAATCTGTACGATTTATAATGCTACATAATTTAATCAGTTGTGAGTACATAACACAATTAAGTATACTTGGAAACATTATATAGGAAGAAATATAACTTTATTTTAAACAGAACTGGCCAGGGTTACAAGATAAGTAAAACTTAATTGGTGCTTTGTGAGCCCTGAAAATTAAGTGTAACAAAAATATATGTAGCAATTTATATAGCAGAAGCAAGCAAGTTATGAAGCAGAATTTCGAAAGTTATAGTTTCATGAGAAATCTTCTCTTCAGTAAAACCCAAGTGGGTATTTTCATGCTACTGTACATACTGACAGAATAAAGAAAAATATCATAGATCATAAAGTATTCTATACTCACTCATTAAAGTCTGGAAGTCATACCAATGAGAAAAAGTTTACATAAATGAAACCAAAAGCGAAGGGTGCCTCCTATTAGTATAGAGCAACGGAAATATAAGTACTGGTGCACTATTAGTACGCCGGACTATTATATTGTAATACTAAAAGGCGAAAACCTTGCATGGCTAACTCTCAACTATACGTCACAATGCATATGAAATGCGAGATGTATAGAAAGCTGATTGTTAGCGCGTTTTGGTATTTTCCGAAAATCGGATCAACAGAATACCTACCTAGGCCAAACTATATATTAAACTAATACAACAGTTCGCTGTATTCAAGGTGATCCGGGAAGGTGATATTCCTATGTAGTGGCACCTATTTGTTAGAATCGAAACCACAAAGAACTCTTTGAAGTGGATCTATTGAATTTGATCACAAAGCGTGCGTATAAATACCCAAACGTCTACTACTGTGTATGTGTACGTGCCCCCTTTTACAAAAGTGCAGCATGTACAGTCAAATTGTTTGTACCCGTTGTAAATTTTGTTGTGGTTTTGTGCTTTTCCTAACTCAATAATGAAAGATGAACTGGTTGAATTAGGGTGTTGATATGTCACCTCCGTAAATCGGTACAAATCAATTTTTCACATATAACAATACACTCGCAGGACATTGGCTTCATGAGTTCCACGCACTTTTGACCAGATCATTTTAGCACATGCTGTAATTGGAGAAAATAAAGTTTTTTCGGGCCTTTGTGCTACCAGGATATAACTTCCGACATGATTTATCATAACAAAATATGTTTGCTGCATATAAATCTGATAAATTATATATTTCGTTTGCAACAAGCTGGGAGTAAATGGCCAAGTAATTTTGGTGCTGGCTCTGAAAGAATATGCCGTCTGTTAAGGAATCAGAAGGGTGTATCTGAGTTCAAAACCCGTTAGGCTCCGAAAGAGACTCGAGCTGTCGTTTTATGTTGGTCCAAGGAGCTTAGCTTTCATGAGTCCTAGGTTGCAGGTTGGTCATAAAGCATAAAGCCAGTACACGCAATATTTTTTATTTAACTGATATCTCTTTTTTTCCTTGGAGTGTGGCTATAACCACCATGCGATCGGAAAACCCGTATCCGTATTACAAGGAATAATCCTTAACAGACCATCGTACCCCCAAGGTCTACGGATTCACCATAAAATGTGACGTCACAATACAATCTGTCCATGCGCAGAGTAACGCCATTGTTCCTCCGTTACCCGATAACGAAAATAACTCTTAAAGTACACCACGTCATTAGCATACATTGTATCTTGTTATATAGTTAAATGAAAATAAAACACCCTTCTTTTTATTGATGATACTTCTCAACGTTCTATCAGGAGAAAAAAGTAGCTACTAGGGTTCGGGAGTGCGCACTATATTTAGTTATTATTGATTTTTAGATTAGTTTCGGAAAAAGTTGGTTGCTTGAAGTTTAAATGTGTTATTTTCTTTTTAATCTAAGGTGGTATAGAATTTAGGCACAATAATATTAGCCAACCACTTTCATGGATAACTGTTGGGAATGTATTGTTGGTTCATCTATTAGGACCAACCTTTGATTTAAAAAAAAAATATATAGTCTTCAGCCCGTATTTTACTCAAATGTAATTCCGGCGCTGCGTTAACTTTGTAATCTTTTGTTCAAAGTCGGGTTTAAGAACTTAGTCCGAAGTTTAAGTTATCCGTTATTAAACTTGATCATACAGTGTCGGATTTAATTGAATTTATTAGGTTTCGTCATATTTCCCTACCAAATAAATATGGGCATATTTGTCTTCTTGTAAAAGCTGTGGAATAACTCGATCAAGAACTAAATTTGCAACACGGATCTAATTTCCTTTTGCGTGATTATAATTTACAAAGAATTATTTTATATTGTAATATTTGTATTATGTGAAATAAGGAAACAAATAAACTGAAACTAAAACTGGTTAGTAGAATACAGCCCTTCAAAATGTTGTCATCGAAAACATGTGACTGAAGTTTTAAAAGAAAAGTAATCACCTTGCTACTCGATATAACCAGTGATCTGTATCAGATCGAGTATGCTAAATATTTCATTTTCTTTTCATCACAACTGTGGGAACACCACTGATATTATGGTAACAATGGCCAGGAAACTACATGGAATGGTTCACCAATGAAAAGGAAACGATAACTACACACACTCAACATGTACGTCAGTGCATGTGATGTATTCATAGGCGAAAATCGGTCTTAAAGCGTGCAGGAAAGTGGGAAACACAATATTTTACCTCAGCTTTTTTTTCTGAGAAAAAAGGGAGCAAAATCAACAACAGCAACAGAAGTATATATCAGTATATATGATACTTAACACGATAGAAACTACTTTCGAAAAATCCATTTAAAGCAATTTTCAGTAGCATTGTGCATTACCATTTGTAGTGTGCGAACACGACACTGATAACGCAACCCGAACATGAATGATTCTATATATGGGATATACAATAGGGTATCGAAATTGTTGATTTTTCGAAAATAGTTATGATCTTATCTTATTATCTTACAGATAATGGTTTTGCAGCATACATTTGAAAAAAATGAGTAGTACTTTGAAAAGAAAGGAAAAAGACGAGGATCGTTTCGAGTAAACCTACTCACCAAATGATATCGACTCTGACATACGAAACACACACGGCACAAAATGTTGAAAACTCGCTATAAATCTCGTTACACGAACTGTAAAAGCATGTTAAAAAAAAATGAGCAGTACTTTCAAAAGAATGGAAAAATACGAGGATCGTTTAATGAAAACCTACTCACCAAATTACATCGACTCGATCTGACAAACGAAACACACACGGCACAAAATGTTGAAAACTTGCAAGAAATCTCGTTACACGAAAATGTAAAAGCATGTAAAAAAAAATGAGTAGTACTTTCAAAAGAAAGGAAAACTACGAGGACCGTTTGGAGAAAACCTACTCACCAAATTATATCGACTCTGGCTGACAAACGAAACACACACGGCACAAAATGTTGAAAACTAGCAAGGAATCTCGTTACACGATCGAAACTGTATCAGCATGTGGCTGTATTAATAAAGAAAGTACAGTGGCTAATAAAACTCTTTATCTCGACACAGAGACGAATATTATGGTTAGAAAGAAGCGGGTAATTGCTTATATGATACCCGTGTTTAATTTCATCACGTGATTATGCAGGTGTTCTATTACTCCGACTAAGTATGCTATAGGCAGCGGCGTAGGAAGGGCACAGTATACCTTTTTTGAGGGGGGGCACTATACTGTCATGGGGAAGGGTTCGGTCTAACGAGATGAATATAATTCAAAAGAACTATGGACTTCAAATGAAAACGTAAAATATGGAAGGGTGAAATCATGTACTTTTCTCGTTGCCTTCCCCTCCTTTAACTTGTTCTCTCTTTCTTTCTCTGTTCCGTTTCTTTCTTTTTACCAATCGATTAAGCGTAAAACATTGTTTAAAAGGAAAAATAAGTCTATTTGAAAGAATCAAACTTTAATCAAAAAGTGTTTAAGGACCTTGCATCGTGTTAAATCTATCCATCGTAAATTACTCGGATGATAGTGATGTATAAGACATTAAATAGTTCAAAGCAAATGTGAGAAAACAAAATGATGAATGAAAATGAAAAGAAGGAGAAGAAAAAAGAAGAAGAAGAAGAAAAAGAGAAGATGTAGGCCTAATCTATCGTGTGATCAAATTGCGTCGAAATTAGAAGTTTTATTTCACAAGACTTTTGTTCCAAGTACGGCGTATAGTTCATTAAATTCGATGATAATGATATCAATCAAAATGTAAAAGCACTATACAAGGTATGACTGTCAAGGCTGCCGATGTTCTACCGTACGTAATTATCGTTAAATTTGACTTAATGGGAGAATTATAGACAGCTCGACAAAACGCGCTGACGAAAAAGAAACCACATATTAAGTAGACCATTATAATTAAAACGCGCGAAACTAATAAAGTCGTGGTACACTGAAAAAGAAAAATAGTGCAATCGCTGAGTTTACTTTCCTTAAATCCTATGATAAAATACCTGAGGTTTTATTTAACTTAATTTGAAATAATGTTTTTAGAAATTCAAGATTTATTTGAATTCTATTGATAATGATTCGGGTAATTAATTTTCTTCGTACAATATCGCGATTAATATTTTACAAATCGCACTTCGATTGATTAATTTTAATGAGCATTAATGCATGAAATTGGAATCAAGCCGAGGGAGTCTTTAAATGATCAATAAAATAAGAATTATCAAAGACCAATATATTTAAAATGTAAAACAACATCTACTATTTAAGGTAAAATAATGGCTATTATTTTCAATGAATTATATGATTTCGAGTGTTGCTTTAATCGGCGTGTTAAGTAATTTAGAGGTTTCCTTGAGAGAACTAAGAAGAAGAAGAAGAAGAAGAAGAAGAAGAAGAAGAAGAAGAAGAAGAAGAAGAAGGAGAAGAAGAAGAAGAAGAAGAAGGAGGAGGAGGAGGAGGAGGAGGAGATAAAAGAGAAGAAGAAGAAGAAAAGAAGAAGAAGAAGAAGAAGAAGTAAATACTGACGAGTCAACATTGGGAGAAATAGCAATTGACCGAGAATGACAAATATCAAATTTTTGACCCAGTCCCATCATCATTTTTTTTTTTTTTGGGGGGGGGGGGGTTGTCGTAAATTTACATATTCGAGGCCACCAATCTTGGACACAAACAGCACTAGGCCTGATTGAAATCGCATGAACGCATTCTTAATTTCCGTCTTCTCAAGATTACTTTTCATCCCGTAGTTCCATACGGTCACGATGTTACGTCCATGATGGGACCGTTCCTCACGAGGCTGTTGAAGCATGCATTGACGCCGTGGAGCAGGGTTGCATTATGTATGAATGAACGGACAACTTGATGATTTTAAAGGGGAAGTCTACGCTGACAATAAGTTGCTTTTAATAGAAGCAGAAAAGTGAGAGATACAGGTCAGTGAAAGTTTAAGTGAAAACCGATAAGAAAGTTTTACATTTTTTGAAGTTGCAATCAATCAAACACAATTACCTTGCCAATTGAACTACCTCCCATTTTTCCTGTACATTCAAGCATCAAGAAATTTCAAATCATTTTATTGATTTATTTATTTATTCATTAAAACATCTTTATACCGGATAATATGTTCAGGTGTACTGTTTTTCAACATGGTCCTGTTAACATTAAAAAGCAAATCACATGTGAAA